TAACTCTAACCTTAAACTTAACACTGTCCATGAAACTCTCTAAACCTTCGTACCTTCTCCGGTGGTGAAGATAATGGTGGTGTCTGCGTCAGGGTGAGAGGTCAGGGCTCCTGGATCAGTGGCTTCTTCCTCTTCTTCATCATCCTGAAAAACAAACAGGGTTAACAGAACTAATCTGACATCTGAATTTGATCAAATTAAATACCAGTTTGGCAAGACCAATCATCCTTGTCTATGTAAGAATAAGGTGAGTGATGCAGGCGCTTGAGGAGCTTCAAACTGTCTCATGTTGTCATCATAAACTGGTAGTACAAATGACTTTATCTCCCATTTGAAAACTATTGTCCATTCAGCTTAGATGTTTTTCACTTCACTCACAGTTTGTTGAAGCTGGTCTTCCTCTACCACATCCTCCTCCTCCTCTTCCTCATCGACTGCCACATCTGGATCTGAGTCCTCACTGGAGTCGGGGTTGGCGCCTACATGGGCTGAGGAGAGATTGAAATAAATTACAAAAATCTCAATTCATTATTGATATTTAAATTACTATTATAATACTACTAATAGGGTAATGTTTCAGTTTCTGTAGACATTTGTAGATTCAAGGAGAACTATGTAACTTTTTTTGTGGTGGGTTTGCCATCTGCTTCTCTCCATGGAGATGTTATATATAAAAGTAACAAATTACTGTAATGCATTGCTTTTATATCAGCAGAAATGAAACGCTGGAGGTGCGCCCGCATAGGTATGGTCCTGGTTTAGTCCTGGTTTAGACCTGGTTCAGTCCTGGTTCAACTCTGGTTTAGTCCTGGTATAGTCCTGGTATAGCCTTGGTTTAGTCCTGGTTTAGTCCTGGTTTAGACCTGGTTTAGAACTGGTTTAGACCTGGTTTAGACCTGGTTTAGTCCTAGTTCAGTCCTCGGTTCAGTTCTCGTTCAGTTCTGGCTTAGTCCTGGTTTAGTCCTGATTCAGCTCTGGTTTAGTCCTGATTTAGACCTGGTTTAGTCCTAGTTCACTCCTCTGTTCAGTCCTAGTTTAGACCTGGTTCAGTTCTGGTTTAGACCTGGTTTAATCCTGGTTTAGTCTGGTTTAGACCTGGTTCAGCTCTGGTTCAGCTCTGGTTTAGTCCTGGTTCAGTCCTCAGTTCAATCCTGGTTTAGATCTGGTTTAGTCATGTATTCGACCTGGTTCAGTTCAGGTTTAGACCTGGTTTAGTCCTGGTTTAGTCCTGGTTCAGTTCTGCTTTAGTTTTGGTTTAGACCTGCTTTAGTCCTGATTCAGTCCATATATGGCGCAAAAGTTTGGCATCTTCGCAGTTCTTTTGATGAGAGTAAGTTAAAAGTGCTGTAATAGTCATGTAATGCCTTACCTTTTAAATGCAGTAATATTGTAATATAATAAATTACTTTGAAATGACAGTAACAAGTCATAAATAACACATTACAGTTTTGAAGTAACTTGCCCAACAGTGCCTTTTAAGTAAAAATTGTGTAAATAAGTACCTTAATTAACACATTTAATTGTTTTTTAAGCAAAATGTAGTCACTAGGTATTTATTTTTAATGTTAAATATCTATATTTTAAACAACATATAAATCAGGGGGTCATTCACTTGTATGATAAACTCTTAGTGAATGAATGAACCATTTTAACTTTTATGGCATAATTGTAATAAAGCTAAGGCACCTTCAAATTTGACTAAATAATTACAGTAAACGTTGCTTTTAGTCTATTATTTCATGTTGAAATAGTGTGAGTTGAATGTAGTTGTCATGGTAAACGTCATCATTGATAACATTAACTTTGGTGACGTGTCTCTGAGCGTGACCCCTTTTTACTACAGCGCACGAGCATCCCAATTCAAACTCATTCAAACTTTTTTTTCCCACTTTATTTGCCAAAAATGTTCATTTAGTTACACAATTCACAAGCGCTCCGTGGTCCTTATACTCTTGGTTAACGGTAACTACTTCAAAACGAGCGACAGTACCGAGATTGAATTCATTCCAAGTTGTGCGTAAAAGTTAGCCAAATGCGTAAAACCAACCGATCCAACCATACAAACAATAGCATAACAGTATAAATCATATACAGTATTACGATTGCCATAGAAGTTTTTGCATGGACAACTGCCACGTCAATATGTTATCTGAACGTTCATAACCTTTTTCAGCGACTGCACAAGAAACAAAGTTAGATTTTGAGAAGTAAAACGTAACTTACCGATAGATACCAATCCGCAGGGAAAGGCGAGGAGGAAAAGGAGCAACAATTTTGACCCAAAGTTGAACATTTTTCAGACTCGGTTGTAGTAAGTTAGTAACACATCAGCATTCGGGAGAAAAAGGGGACAGAGGAGTACACGGGGGCGGGACTAGAGGTGGATCTTTGCGGGGATTGGACGAGACGAGAAGCGGGGGGAGGGACCGCAGACGTAGAATTTAAATCATTATACATTCACCTCGTCTGGCCGCTAGATGTCACTGTAGTCACAAGATTTACGCATGGATTTACGCAATAAGGTTGGAGTTTCAAATCACGGCTTGCATAGCATATTTATGTCAAGTTAACGTATTATTTTTTGTTTTCTGCAGGATATTTAAGATGATTTAGAGATTGATTTTAATTCTAATTCTAATTTCCAATCCAGTTTAAAGGTGCACTGTGTAACTTTTTGTTTGAGTGTCCGCCACTTGCTTGTTTCTAAGGAGATGTTATTGTTTTAGTTTTTTATTTTCCACAGTTTGGCATTAAGCTTATATCTCCATGGAGACAAACATGTATCTCAACCAGACCAAGTAAAAAAAAAAAAAAAAGCTGTAATTTAATAAATAAAAAGAAATATTTAATACTATACTGTGTAACTTTCATAGTGGTGTTGTTGTTTCCTTGAGCAAGACACTTGAATGTTGTGTGTGAGTGAATAGTACTTAGAGAGGCTAGTGGTACAGATGGGAAGCCACAGCTCAGTCATTTAGGTCAGTGGTCCCCAACCATTTTTGTGCCACGGACCAGTTTTATGGTTTTATATCTGACAATATTTCGTGGACTGGGGGGCGGTGTATGGGAGGAGGCGCAGTACCCGGTCCGCGTGGCACAGTTAAGTCCTGATTAAATCCTATTTTAGACCTGTTTTAGACCTGGTTTAGTCCTGATTTAGTCCTGGTTTAGTCCTGGTTTGACCTAGTTTAGACCTGTTTTAGTTCTGGTTTAGTCCTGGTTTAGACTTGGTTTAGCCCTGGTTTAGACCTGGTTGAGACCTGGTTTATTTCTGGTTCAGTCCTGGTTCAGTCCTGGTTTCGTCCTGGTTTTAGCCCTGGATTTAGTCCAGGTTTAGTCCTGGTTTAGTCCTGGTTTAGTGGCCCACATGGTGTACGGGAGTGGGGATTCACTCTTTCACGGCCCGATACCAAAGAACCCACGACCCAGTACTGGTCCCTGGCCCGGGGGTTGGGGACCCCTGATTTAGGTAAATTAATAAAAATGAACTCTTACCCCAAAATATTTTTATTACACCATAATTAATTATACATAAATGAACAAAACAACAATTGTATATTTGATTCTGTAGTTTATAAGACACAGTTTGTGCTGTGAGCTTTTTGTTCCATCAAATGTGTACTATTCTGAAAAGAAGCAAACAGTATGTTTAAATCAACCATGTGCGCAGTTCAAAGTGATGCATTTTAATCCTGTATAACGAAGTGGACTAAGCGAGCGTGATGTCATGCATAGCGCTCAGCTCCAGTCAAATGAAGCTCACCGAGGCTGCCAGTTGTAGTTGCAGATTTGGAGCTCCGTATTAGGAACAGGAATTTATTTACAGACAAAACAGTGAAATAAAAACACCAGGATCATGTAGTGAAGGTTAATACGAACAGTTTAAGATCTTTTGAACTATGAGTAAATTCCACAAAATCACTGAAGGCTCATTATTAAACTTGTACTGTGCAACTTTTTGGTTGGGGTTCTCTTTCTATAGATATGTCATTGCTCTGCTTAGAATGTTCCATAGTATGACATTAATTAGCTCTACCTCACATTTATTCAATTACAGGTGGTTTTATAGGTTCAAAATACCTAGAAAAACAGGCAGTCCACCACGTGTGCAGTTCAAAATCCACAGTATGCATTGTACTTTTCTGACTACTTGCAGTACTATAGCTCTAGGCATGTGGTCAGTTTAATACAGTCAGGTGTGAAAATACAGACCTTCTGTTGTGGTGGCACCAGAGACAGAGAGGCACATTCACACAGCTCATTTTAAGCTCTGGTTTTGAGACTGTGGTTTGGCATCCTGTTACAGACTATTTATGGTGCTTATTGAAAATGAGACCTCATTTCGTTGAATTTAAATCGAATTTATTTGACATTAGATGTGGTTCAGTCCTGGTTTGGTTCTCAATAAATCCTGTCCTGGTTTAGTCCTGGTTCAGACCCGATTATTTTTGGTTTAGTTTTATCCTGTTTATTTTTGGTTTTGACCTGACTCAGTCCCAGATAAAACTTTCTTACTTTTCACACATACTTTTTCATTTTACTTTTCAAGTCTCATGTACAGAATATTAAAGTTTTTTCAGAGTAGTTTTCAAACATAATTTTAATCCTGTTTGATGAATGTATTTGACAGTAACAGTACTCTTACTTGAGTAAAAGTTGTGGTTCTCTTCTCACTGTGAGTAAGTGTACAAGCCATGGTGGAAGGTGTCAAAGTAGAATTGATTTTAAGATTTTATTGTTTGTTTTTAAAGCTTTGAATGGACTGGCTCCACAGTACATCTCGGACCTCATCCAAATGTATACCCCTGCACGCGCTCTGAGGTCCGAGGTCCAGCTCCAGCTCAGGGTGCCTAAGACGAGACTTAAAACCAGAGGGGACAGGGCTTTCTCTGTGGTCGGCCCTAAACTCTGGAACGATCTGCCGCTTCACGTTCGAGCAGCACCCACAGTGGAGAGTTTTAAATCTCGTCTGAAGACCCACTTTTATTCTCTGGCTTTTAACACCGCGTGAGTTGTGTGGTCCTCTGTGTCTTTTATTTATTTTTATGTGTTTTTATTGGTTTTACTGATTTAATTTATTTATTTGTTTATTTATTTCTATTCTATGATATAGTTTTATTTTTATTTTACTGGTTTTATATTATTTTACTAGTTTTATTACTTTAAGACTAGTATTATTTTAGTAATTTACTTTATCATCTTATTGTTGTTATTTTTTATGTATTTGTGCAGCACTTTGGAAACAGTTTGTTTGTGAAATGTGCTATATAAATAAAGTGGATTGGATTGGATTGGAAAGTAAAAGTAGTAAAGTACAGCATAAATTTGAGGTATGTGTACTTTACTTAAATAGATTTTACAGTGAAAACTTTTTACTTTTACTTTACTACATTTGAGAGAAGGTATCTGCAATTTCTACTCTACTATTTCTACTATTGCTCAGGACTGAAAATTAAAAAAATTTTAAATTTTTTTTTATTTTCAGGAGCCTGCTGAAAAGACTGAGTGAGGGTTAATTTTTTTATTTGTAGTCTGAGAAAACAAAAATATATTTTTCAAAACCACTGCATTTGAAGCTTTCTTAGATCTCAAAATGTGGGCAAAATACTTTTACTTTTTACTATTTAAGTAAATTTTTAAACAGGTACTTTTATAATTTACTGTATATTTACGTCAAAAAAAATTTTTTTTTTATACTTTTAATTGAGTTTTTTTTTTTTTTTTTCTGTTGTAATTTAATATTTCCAACCCTGTCTACAAGTGACAAAAGCTTTATGTTGCTAATATGAAATTATGTGAACATTTTTGTTTCTTGCTCTCCTTTTTCTTTTCTTTTTTTCTTTTTTCCTTTTGCTTTCCCTCATTTGTGTGGTCTCTGAATAAATATAAACTACATTTTGTTAATCATTTGCCTCATATATAGTCAGTCTAGTCAGAATAGTCGGCATTGTTCATTTTTATCTGGGTTAAATATATATGTTTTTGTTATTAACTTGCTTTGTTAATTGCTTGTCAGATCTGTGGACCCTGCTCACAATAATAATTCATCTTTTTCAGGAATAAAAATATCTGTGAATGAATAAAAGCAAGATTTTCATAGACCACTCCAAGCAAAGAAAAAAGTTAAAGCATACCTTTAAACGACCCAAATTTTGCTATTCTCTAATATATATTCTAATGTTTCCTCATCCCAAACAGACCTGGAGTTGTGGTTTGTTTCTTTCACGCATGTTTAACTTGAAAACTACCACTATATGACATCACAAGTTGGATCAGAGTATTTTGAGCTTTGGAGATGTACACAGACTACTCGATTAAAGGTGTGAATGACGCAACGAATGAGGTAACAACATTTTAACACAACTTAAAGCTCACAAGAGTCAAGTTTGCGTAATATAAGACCTTTAATTAAAATAGAAATACATTTTATTTTCACTTGTCAATCAGAACAGTCAACAGTGTCCATGTATTATCACCGTCAGTAATTATTAATATCGTTGTGTGTTTGTTATAAATAGATGACGGTGCCACACTCTTTTGCATTTATGTGTTGTGGTTTTTGCAGCAGCACACATCCTGTCTCAGCTCCACTGCACGAGGCCACTGCTCATGTCTGTATACACTTTTTGTACAGGTACTACATGACACTGGTACACGTAAAGACCTAGACATACTCTTATTTCATTATACTTGTTGGAAAATGATATGCTGTGATGGCAAAGATGGTTTTATAGATATTTTGAACATAATTGTGAAAAATAATTGCTCTGTGGTTGCAAAGTCTGTTTTGCGTCAGAGATTGTAAAGGTGTAAACCGTGTAACTTTTCTGGTGAACTGGTCTGTCAGATGCTTTTCTTCATGGAGATGTTATTGCTTCATCTGGAATGTTTCACAGTATGGTGTTTAAGCTTTCTATCTTCATGGAGACCAAACCAGATCAAGATACATGTCAGATCTGCGGAGAGGCAACTCCGTTCACAGTCAGAATGCTTGTTTTTCTAGGGATTTTTGAGCCATAAAACCAGCTGTAACTGAATAGATGTAGGGTAGAGCTGTTTAATGTCATACTGTGGAACATTCCAGGTAACAGAAACAAGCAGGTGACAGAACCCTAACCAAAAAGGTACAAAATGCAGCTTTAATGTTTAGGATATGAATTTTCTTAGTAGTTTAGTTTAAAGATTTTCACTCACATAAGAGGAAGGATGTAAAAGTGTTTATTTTGCCTAAATGACTGAAAGAGTATTGATATATATATGAAAGAACAAATCATTTGTTAAGGATCATTCAGGTTTAGCCTCCTGTCACTGAGCCTGAATCATTCTTAATAAACTCGTATTTTCTCATTCTGATTTAAGGCTTTAAGGTTCATGCATTATGGAGGTGAATAGTGTGTTGTTATTGACACTTAGTGAACTTCACACATTATTTTGCAAGACTTTCAAACCACACTTACATCAGAACCACTCACCACACCATCCAGACTCACCCTTATCACAATAAACATCATTGTACTTTGCTGTGACCTGGATTAAACATGCTCTGCATTGTGCAAACTTTGTGACGCTTATCTCCATGGAGATACGATTACATTACCATGAATCTGCCACAGTGTGGCATTAATCTTTGTATATCTGCTCAAATCCTGTTTCTGTGTGCGCAAAAATCTCGTAAACACTGTGCAGTCTCCATAGATCTGACCTGTAAAAGACCTACAGGTGTCACCTTAATTATTTATTTATTTATTTATTTACTTATTTGTGAAGGGACAGTAGATATTAATGAACATTTAAAATATAAATATGTAAAGATTATAAAGTTGAAAACACTGAGGCACTAAAAAAGTACAAAATAATTAAAAGACTTTAATACCACATGGTGAAGCGCTTCGGTGTGATTTGAACTTTATCTGCCATGTGCTATTAAAGGCTTTTAATTATTTTGTACTTTTTGAGTGTCTCAGTTTTTTCAACTTTGTATTTGAGACTGGTCCCTACACTGAAGAGCACTGAAAGGACAATTCTGCACAATTTCTGTACATCCAAGCAACACTCCTGCCCCCCAAACATCAACCCAACAGCTCATTTCCATCTTCAGTACCTCAGCAGGTTCATGTCTAATCTAATCATGTCTACAGGACAAAGAAAAGTACAGCAACAATCACACAAAAGCACTTAACACCAGCACACTCACTGTACACTCACTGTACACTCACCATACACACAATTCATTTCAGACAGTTCATTTGAAGTTAGACATAAGGGCTAAACCAATAACCCTTCAGTATAAAAGTGTCATTTTGGTGACATATTTGACCATTGAACAGCCACTGTTTGAAAGCTTTAGAAAATGCTGCAGTGTTGAGAGAGTTGCTCTCGTAAATGAGCGCCTCTGTGCTCCACGTCTGACCTGCTCCACAAACTAAAGCAAGTTCTGCTAAAGCACCTCTCACAGCAGTCAACTCCCCTCATGTCCGCTTTGAGTTTCTTTTCACAAACTCCTTTAGAGAAGCTGGAATGAGATTATTTGTCAAGTTTTCTGCAATAGTCTAGACTTCTTGTCTGTCTGTCTCCATGGAGATAGGTAGTTTAATGCCATACTGGGGAACAATCTCCGTGGAGACAAGCAGGAGGTTACACTGGTTAAGAGTTTATAAATGTAAAGTTCAGTAGAATATATGTTCAGTTTTTTTTTTTTTTTTTGCCTTCAGCACGGTGGATGTGTGACAACTTCGAGATCTTGTTTGGAGTCCTGGTCTCAGTTCTTGGAGTTTCGGTGGCTTTAAATGTTTACTTCTGCGCAGCAAAACATTGTTCAGGTAACACTATCTTTCTTTTACATTATCATTTCAATCATTTCATATGCTGAAAATTCTTTTTTTTTTTTTTTTGGAACGGATTTAGGGAGAAGAACCAAAAATGAATCTAAAAGAAGGTATGCAGTCTGAGCAGAGAAAAATGTGAAATATATATAAAAAATAATTCTTACAATATTATAAGATGTTTTTTTTTGGTTGTTGTTGTTTGAAGTCGAACCAAGAAGCAGATGGAGGAGAACCCTATCTATGGAAACCTGACATTGTCAAACGCACAAACAGGTAAGGATCCTGTCTTATTCATTTAACCATATTTTCGTAATTCCATATTTCAGATTTAAAAACTGTGAGCGGGTTAGTGTGTATAGTATAGTATGAACAATCCATTTAATAGAAGGTTGTTTTTCCCCAGTATTCATTTATGTCAGATTTCTATTTCTATTTTAAGGTAGGAAAAAATACAAAGATCTAACAAATCAACAACAACAACAAACCAAATATTTCATTTCATTTTATTTAACGAGTTAATGTTTGAGAGCTAAACTGATTCTTATTTACAAGAGAGCAGACGCACATTTATAAACAGACAAAACAGACAGAACAATTAGAAGGAATATATTCAGACAACAAAGGCAAAATAATGTTTCAGTGGGAATACCTAAAATACTACTAGTAGTAGTAGTAGTAGTAGTAGTTTATTTCTTCAGTCATGTACTTAATACACTGTTATAAACATTTCACATCAAAGTAGTGAAGTCACGTCTGAATGCCTGACCCTGTTTACAAATGACGATGCCAAGAATACGACTGTCAGCAACTTGGAAAGTACAGAGAAAAAAATACATATAATACTACTACTACTACTACTACTACTACTACTACTACTACTATTACTACTACTACTACTACTACTACTACTACTACTACTAATAATAATACTGCTTCTACTACCAGTACTACTACTACTACTACTACTACTACTACTACTACTTCTACTGCTGCTGCTGCTACTGCTACTACTCCTACTACTACTACTGCTACTACTGCTACTACTACTAATAATAATAATTATAATCATAACAATACTACTACTACTACTACTACTACTATTACTACTACTACTACTAGGCAAGGCAAGGCAAGTTTATTTGTACAGCACAATTCGTACACAAAGTAATTCAAAGTGCTTTACAGAATAAGAAATACATTAAAATCATAATAAAAACAAATCAAAACATAAATAATCATGAAGATTAAAATTAAAAAAGAGAGACATAAATTGGAGAGAAGAGTGCGGAATGAAAACCTTTCAGTTATATGCACAGTTAAACAGAAATGTTTTGAGTCTGGATTTAAACAGCGTCACAGAAGAGTCTGTCTCACATGTTCAGACTGTTCCAGGTTTTAGCTGCATGAACCTGAAACGCTGACTCCCCTTGTTTAGTCCTGACTCTGGGCACCAGCAGGAGGCTGGTCCATGAGCTCCTCAGAGTGTGAGATGGTTCATATGACACTAACATGTCACAGATGTACTTTGGTGCTCGGCCATGGAGAGCAAGCAGAGCTGCTTTAAACTCTATTCTCTGAGGCACAGGAAGCCAGTGCAGAGACCTGAGCACAGGACTTATGTGCTCGTACTTCCTAGTTCGAGTAGGGACCCGAGCTACTACTACTACTTCTACTGCTGCTACTACTACTACTACTAATAATAATAATAGTCCTTATGAGTTCAGTACAGTAGTTCTTTTGAGTGAACTCTATTCCACTTCCAGCACCTAAGAAAAAATATTTTTTCCTTCAAAATCATCAACATTTATTTTCTGCACTAACCTGCTTCTGTATCTGATCTACATTTCTACATTATTATCTTACCGTCTCTGTCTTTGTAGTAAAAATATGTCTTTAAATCATTCTAGCGTTCTGTATCTGCTTATAGAATTAAATTTGTTTTATTTGTTAGTTTAAAAATGCTTTTATTGCTTTTTAAACTGTCATTCAGACTATTCCATAAATCTACTTCTCTAACCGATATACATCTACTTTTGATGTTAGTCCTGGGCTTATTTTTTTAAATACTCCAGTTCCTCTTAAATTATAACGAGTCTCTGGGTTTGAATCTCTCATGAATCCAGTCAGGGAGCATGTGATGATGAACCTTCTACATTCAAATACATGTTGAAATCACGCTGTTTCCTTTCAAATAAAGAATCATGATTTGAATGTGGAGTCACTTTTGCACAGTGCACAGTCAAGAGCAGCTCTGTCTGTGGTGCACACCGTCTGCAGGGCAATGAGCGTGCTCTGTGTGCTCAGCTCCTGTCTCCACAAAGCTCCAGTCCACAAAACTTCACCAAATCACATCTGTTATCAAGGCTCAACAAACAAACACAGAAAATGATCTATTTATTTATTCTGTTATCTATTTAGCAGTCTATTGAACCAATAAGAGTCACCCACATACAGAATTGGAATGTGGAACAAAGCACAAAGGGCTCCGTCAAATGCTTTTCTTCCTTTTTTCCATGGATGTTCTTTCTTTGTCTAGAATGTTTCACAGTGTGGTATTAAACCTTTCTATCATCATGAAATTCAAAGCAGGTCAAGCTACAGGTCAGATCTGTGGAAAGGCGACGCCGCTCACAGTCAGAATGCTTGTTTTTCTTGGTATTTTTCATCTATAAAACCACCTGTAGTTGAATAAATGTAAAGTAGAGCTGTTTAAAGTCATACTGTGGAACACTCCAGAGCAATGACATCGCCACAGAAACAAGCAGGTGACAGACCCTCCACCAGAAAAGTTACACAATGCATCTGGGTTAGGTATCTGTACTTTAGTTAAGTCCATTTTATGATGGATACTTTTTACTTTTACTTCACTACATTTAAGAACATATATCTGTACTTTCTACTCCACTACGTTTTAGATCTGGAATGAAAAGTAAAAAAACTATTTTCCTTTATGGTCTGAAACCATTTAATTTGAGTTAAAGCCACAACTTTGAGCTAACAAAAAATAAGAAATCAATTGAATCTCTTAAAATCAACAAAATTCTTTATAAAAATCACTCCATTTGATGCTTTAATTGTTCTCCACAAAATTCTTTTAATTTTTACTCTTAAAGCACATTTTTAAACCTGTACTTCAATAGATAATAATTACTTGCTTAGTAGCTTTTTTACACTTTTACTCAACTTCAGTAATCTTTTACCCCTGTATCTGTAGTTTTACTTGAGTGACAAAATTGAGTACTTCATCCACCACTGCCCAGGCAGTATTGTTAATGTTAAAGCCTTTATGATACTTTTACTCTTTACAGACACTGAAACTCCCTTCACTTCCTCTGTGAGAAGAGATCAGAGAAGAATCACTGCAGTTTCTCAGGTACTGCTTCATTATGTACTATTCAGTATTTACTAGATTATAGTACTATACTGTGGTCATACCGGCTTGTCGAAGCCCGATTGTGTCAGATCTCAGAAGCTCAGCAGGTCCGGGCCTGGTTAGTACTTGGATGGGAGACACTGGGAACATCAGGAGCCACGTGCGTGCGTGCGTGCGTGCGTGCGTGTGTGTGTACTGATGGCACAGATTGGCAGTGGTGCTTCTATCAGTCAGCTGTGGCTACAATAGTAGCTTACACCACCGGGTCTGGAGTGACTGAATAATACTGTGTAAAGTGTCTTTGTGTCAAATGTCTGTGAAAAGCCCTATGTAAATAAAAATTATTTACTGTTATAGAAATCTAGAACATTCTGATCACCTATAGACAGATAGGCCTATTTTAATTTCATTAATTTTTCATCATCATTTTTTTTTTTTTTAGAATCTATGAACCAGAAACTATAAACAGAATTGAATTGAAAAGTAAAACTAGTGTTCTTGCATGGTGAGGTTATTGCTTTAACTGAAATGTTTCACAATATGGAATTAAACTTATCTATTTCCATGCACATCTATTTCTACACAGAGTAGATGTGTGCATAGGCAAGCCCTCACAGGACTGATCCAATATTACACCAAACTGACTTGTGAGCTGTAAGCCATGTTATAATGTTTCTTCCTCAAAAACAGACCTGGACTGTTCTGTTTCAGTCACACATGCAGATGTTTGAGTAACTCTTTATTATTAGTCTCTAAAGCGAAAATCTTTTGGAGTTTAAAGGTGTTTGGAATTTAAAAACACAGTGGAGTGTTTTCTGTTTGAGAGAAGAACTCAGTGTAAATGTGCAGGGTTTGTGTTGAACATGTCAAATGGAACAAAACACAACTCCAGGTCTGTTTGTGATGAGGAAATAACATTCTATACAAATACAGAAGACCAGAAAATAGTGTCATATAGGACCTTAAATAAAGTGCACTGTAGCTGAATGTAAGAACATAAAATAGTTAGGTTTAATGACATACTGTGGAACATTCCAGGGAGACAACAGAAAACCCAGTAAAGTGATATATAGGCCTATTGCACATCCAGTAAATGTTGTGACTGCATGCTGGGTCCAAACACAAAAAATGTGCAAAGGAAAAAACAGATCTGCACTGCACTTCTTTGGAAATCTGATGTCTGAAGAAGCTCCAAAGAACTGCAGTGCGGATCTGTTTTCTGTTCTGCACGACTTCGAAGGACTAAACATTTTATTTTTAGATATTTTCTTTCAATTTCAGTCTTTTCATGTTGCTTTGTTTTCCAAGGACGAACCAAACTGCGTCAATATTTCTAGTTCATATAAATACTTTTTTTTTTCTTCTCTCTGATAGGACTGCTACGCTAACCTGAGCCTGCAGAGGGCGCCGTTGAGCTGTGGCCCCAGCGCTCCTCCTCTCGACCCCGCGGACTTGCACTTGCATCTGGACTTGGAGCATGCCCCGTACCCGGAGAAAGACCCGGATGACGCGGAGGTCCGGTCGGCCGTGTCGGACCTGTACGCCTCGGTCCAAACCCGAGCCAAGATCCTGCGGAGTCCAGACAGCGAAGAAGAATACGCCAATCACCTATGAATATGGCGATCACGTGACCCTCATCCCTCGTTTTACGTATTTACAGAATGTCTCACTCATTTATTATTAATGAATGTCACGAACTATACATATTTACATGATAATCTATATATTTTGTTTTCCTGTAAAGAAATAAACTTTTTTTTTTGGTGTAGCTACTGGTTTTCTAGGTTATTGTCATTAGAAGAACCTTATTCATAGTTTAGTGTCATTTTAGACCTGGTTACTTATTTTAGTGCCATTTTAGACCTGGTTTAGACCTAATATAGTCCTGGTTTAGATCTGGTTGTGAGTGTGGACACTGTGTGGGTACTTGGTGTGAAAAATTTGAGAGACACTGGGCTCTGGGAGAAATGTGACTGGCATCTTGCAATTCCAAACTCTCTATGTGCATTATAATAAATAAAAAGTGAAAATTATTTGCTGTTACTTAAGTTATTATCTTGGGCTTGGGCTTAAATCTCTCTCTTTTTTTGAAATGGTCACCCTACCTGTGAAAACTGTTTATTTCTAGTAAGATGTATTATATGTCCTATATTGTATCTGAACTCTGAAGTAAAAGAAGTTATAGATTTTCTTAGGAATGCTACATAGATAAATATACATCAAAACATGTATTGTCTGGTGAGCTCTATGGTCTGGTTCCAGATCCTCCTGCTTCTGTTCTTATAAAGTGTGAGCAGGAGGTGTGGATGGTTGGGAGTCTACATTTTCCATGTTCACAAAAGGAATGAACTGCGTCCACTCACATACAGTATGTGCTAAGTTTTCACAACTCCACAGTGACAGTGCAGCTTCTTATCACAGAAAACATATGGATAAGACCCAGTGAGTAACACGTTATAAAAGTAACAGATTAATAACAGATTGTAATACATTGCTTTTTGCTGTAATGATTGGTTGATTGATAGCATTTATATAGCGCCTTTCAAGATACCCAAAGCGCTTTACAGTTCATTATTCAGTCACTCCACACTCAGTGGTGGTAAGCTACTACTGTAGCCACAGCTGCCCTGGGGCAGGCTGATGGAAGCGAGGCTGCCAATCTGCGCCATCGGCCCCTCCGACCACCACCATCGCTCACGCTCACAGCACTTTCATACTAGGCAATATGGGTGAAGTGTCTTGCCTAAGGACACAACAACAGTTTTTTGCCACTGGCGCCCCACTGTGGCACCTGGAATGCAGTAATATAAGCCACTACAGGAAAAAAATAGTAATACTTTACTTGGTACAAATGTCAGTAATGCGCGTTATAATGCTTGAATGAAGTGGTGGGTTTTGCATTTTTCTTCATACAGATTTGTTAAAATTATTGCGATATCCGCATTGGTGAGACGTCATCGTTACGGTTCTGAATGTCGGGACTGACCTGGAGGTGCGCCTGCGTAGACAGTCGAATAACCACTTTGAGGACACCCTGCTCCACGGGCTCGGTGTTCTCTCAGGGGCGGTCCTAGATTCCAAGTCCTAGTCCAAGATTAGTCCTGCTATAGACCTGGTTTAGTCCTGGTTTTGTTCCTGGTTTATTCCTGGTTCAGTTCTGGTTTAGTCCTGGTTCAGTCCTTCGTGCATCTTCGCACAGTTATTTTGGTGAGAGTAACTTAACTACCTAAAGGTAGTCGTGTAATGTTTTACATTTTAAATGCAGTAATATTGTAATGTAATGAATTACTTTGAAATTACAGTAACAAGTCATAAATAACGCATTACAGTTTTAACCCTCTCAGGCTTAAATTTATTTTTAGCATCAGGAAAAATCTGATATTTGGGGAAAATTATAATATGGGGTAGTAATATACAATCCTGACTTTTTTATCCTTTGTAAACAAAAAAAGTATTTTGCACTTCTGGCAGGCCGTTTGCGTGTAGTCATTCTTGCACAGTCTGCATCATCCACGTTTATCAGCATGGATGGGAGAAAAGGCTCCTGAGTAAAAAAAGCTCATAAAATATGGATGTGGAGTAAGTAGGTAATTGGAATTTAGCTATTGCAAATCTGCAACGCCTGCCTGGAGAGGGTTAAAGTAACTTGCCCAACAGTGATAAGACTTGTATTATTGTTCAGAGCTGATGATGCCTGTCCAAAAGAAACAACAATTCCCAAGTCCATGAAAATCTGGATTAAATCGCAGGGTAAACAAACAGGAAGTATTATAGCATGCATGGAAAAATGTCCCTTTTCTGGTAGAAGGTCTGCCACCTGCTGGTATCCATGGATATGTTATTGCCATTGCTAGAATGTTCAACAGTATGGCAATAAAGTTACACACTTACTTATGCACTTATATTTATTCAAATCCAGGTGATTTCGTTACTAAAAAATACCTGGAAAAGTATGAAATTCTTACTATGAGCAGCCTCACTTCAGAGACACCTCAGAGATTCCTCATGTAACTTTGACAATAGCTGATTGTCTCCATGGACATAGTGTATAGTTTATAGTGTAATAGCATACTGTGGAACTTTCCAAACAAAGCAATGACATCTCCATTTAGACAAGCAGGTGGTATAACCTCCATCTTTGAACTGTTTGCACCCTCATTTCAGGCAGAGTAAATAATGACACTTCATGGAGCTATACTGCCTTTGCACCCTCAGTCTGTTTGTTAGAAAGATGTTTGTGTAATCCCCAGTCGTCCAGGTATGATGCACAGCAAAAGAAATATTCAATTCTGTCACCTCAACTCAAAAAAAGATATCTTCTGTCAGTACAGGAAGTGCTCTGCTGTGTTTTAAAACTCCAAACACCTTCCACTAGAATCATTTGAATAATAATAATTTGAATAATCTTTACTGCACTAAAAGTAAAAGGAGCTGTTAACATGAAAACTATTGCTTTCATGACATCACAAGGTGGAACAGAGCATTTTGAGTTTTGGAGATAGACTAATAATAACAGGTTTACTCAAACATGTGTGAATGAAACACAACTCCAGGTCCATTTCTGCTGAGGTAATAGCATCATAACATGTCTTAAAGAGAGAAGAAGAAAAAGAAGACCTTTAAAGATGTACTATGCAACTTTTCTGGTTGAAGATCTGCACCTACTGGTCACCATGGACATGTTATTAATTAAGTGTTATTACATTTTAACCTCATTTTAAAATGTTTGCACTTTCATTTTTGACAGACTATATAATGGAGGAGTATTGCCTTTTCACCCTCAGTCAGTTTGTTAGAAAGATATCTGTGTAATCCAAGGGCGGAAAGTGACATATTACATCTACTCACGTTACTGTAATTGAGTAGTTTTTATGAATAATTTGTCATTTTTAAATAGTTTTTGAAATAGGTAATTTTACTTTTACTCAAGTATATTTTGACCCAAGTGTATTTCTTCATTACATTGGAACCCAACCTTGTTACTGAGTAAAATCAGATTGATAGAGAGAGAGAGAGAAAAAAAAAAAGAATCTGCCAGAAAAGAAAGAATATATACTGTATATATAGTAAAATTTTCACTGTAGAATGTTCAGTCATTATACAGAAGCGTTAGTCTGTCTTGGATCAGTTTGGACATAGAGAGAGAGGTGCTCATGGACGATATTTAAGAAGAAGGTGCACTGAATAATTCTTGAGAGGAAAGAGAGGAAAACCCCTGGCCAAACCTCGGACAGTTATTTGTGCTCAAACGCAAAATAGAGAATAACATAATAATGCAAGTGTTAAAATAGTAAGTGTTAGTAAGTGTTAGTGAACTCATTTGTCTTTAAAATGTACAAAGTTTACACTGAACAAAGTTTGAACTGTATCACCTTAAAGTTGATTAAAACAAATTGTGCTGGATTAAATTGGATAAATTTATGACTCATTCTTTTTACATCAAATCATTCAAAGTAACTAAGTAACTTTTACTCAAATTACATTTTAAGTGAAGTACATTTTTACTTTTACTCAAGTAGCTTTTTAGATGATTCCTTTTACTTTTACTTGAGTAGGAATTAAGCAAAGTAAAGATACTTTTACTTAATTACAATTTTTCTGTTCATTTTCCACCTCTGTAATCCCTCAGTTGTTCAGATATGATCCACAGCAAAAGAAAATAAAATCTGTCAGCTGGACTGTGAAAGCAAAACTGTAAATCTTTTGTCCAGTTGACAGAATAGAATTCCTCTTTTACTCAATCAGATCAGTTTATGTTTGAAGGCCCGTTATCTTATACCACATTGTACAATCTCTTCCAACTGAGCAATTCACATTAATCTTATGACTAAAGTGCATCCTAATAAACGCTGTTGTCTAATAGCCAGAATTTGATCCTCACCTTAGCGTTTTTTCTTATCTCCTCTTCAAGCAGCCATAAAAGCACTGGATGTTAGGAAAAAGCAGTTCTTTGAGTGTCAACCTGCCAAAATGAAGTCCCACACAAGTCTTCAAGTGCGTCTCCCTGCACTCATTTTTGTCATGGAGATTGCCATGCTAGTCCTTTATTCTTTATTTGTCACGTACGATGACAATGCCAATGCCAAGCTACAAAACAATGAGACGAACCCAATGGACAACTCAATGTATCGAGATTACCCCTACTTCGCTGACGTCCAGGTGATGATTTTCGTCGGTTTTGGATGCTTGCTTGCGTTCTTCAAATTTTATGGATTTAGTGGTATGGTTTTTAACTTTCTCACTGCCGCTTTTTCAATCCAGTGGGCAATTTTAATCCAAGGTTTTTTCCAGTTTTACCACGATGGAAAGATTCACATTGGCATCGTCAATTTGCTGAATGCAGAGTTTGCATGTGCAGTTGTGCTCATTTCTTTCGGAGCAGTTCTTGGAAAGACTAGTCCAGTTCAGCTTGTGGTTATGGCTTTGCTTGAAATCCCAATTTTTGCCGTCACCGAATGGGCTGTTTTGAAGTATTTACGAATCACAGACGCTGGTGGTACCATTTTAATTCATTTATTTGCTTGCTACTTTGGACTTGGCGTAACTTTCGTCTTGTATCGACCAAGTTTGAACTCCGGACACCCCAAAGAGACAACCAGCTACAATTCGGACATTCTTTCAGTGATGGGCACGTTGTTTTTGTGGGTTTTCTGGCCATCGTTCAACTCCTCTTTGACCTTTAAAGGTGACGACCAACATCGAGCAGTTCTACACACTTTTATTGGTCTCAGCTCTTCGACCATTACAGCTTTTGCCCTGTCAGCGATGTTCAACAAGCGCGGTAAACTAACGATGGCGGACATCCAAAACGTCACTCTCGCAGGGGGAGTGACCGTTGGCGCGTCCGTGGATATGATGTTCTCCGGCTGCTGCGTATTCACTGGGGATTCTGGGTTGCACTGCTTGCTTTTTCGGGTATAAATACTTAACTCCTTTCATGGCGAAGAAATTGAGAATCCAAGACCAATGCGGCATCCATAATCTCCACGGACTCACTGGGATCATTTCATCAATGGCAGGGATTTGCGCCATTTTGCTTGCAACGGAAGAGACCTATGGACCTAGCTTGTATCAGATCTTCTCTCATCGCGCCCCACCAGAAGGAGATCCGAAACTACTCGAACTTCAACAGCTAATCCCGGGGCTAAAACCCGGATTGGGTCGCACGGCTAAAGAACAAGCGTTATTTCAGGTAGCTGCCATATTCGCGACGATAGGAGCTTCCATCGTGGGAGGGTTGCTAACGGGTTTGGTGATAAATTTGAAGTTTATGGCATCTCCGTCGGATGAAGATTGTTTTGACGATGAGGTGTTCTTTGATGTGCCTTCAGACTTTGACACCGGAATTATTTTCAAGAAGGAAGACGTTTTGGATGAGAAGGTTCAAACCCCGATGAACATGACAAAAAATCAATGATGTCTCTTATTAAAATTGTTCATGCAACATTATATCATGATTTAAACACTACCTACCATATTTTCTCATATTTTGAATATATCTTGTATATTGTAAACCGCTTTTTGTAGCTGTATGATGTTTGTGTGGAAATGCACTGCAAATTGAGTTAGAACTGGGAAATTACACTATAGAAATTATGAAGGCCACCTCCCACTTGCTGGCCTACTATTCATGGGTTTCAGAATGATGAGAAATTAGGACCATAGTGATGTAATTTTAAAGGGACAGTTCAGAATTTTGGACATAAGGCCTCATTTCCTAGTGAGCCAGAGTGTTGGAGACATGCGGAGACACTTTTTGAAATATTCCATCCAGTCCTTGTTTTTCCAGAGGTTACTGGTGCCTGGCTAGTTCATGTCAATGGCCAAAGTTATCCTGCCACTAAACCCACTCCACAAAACACCCAAAGCAAAACAGTTACAATGCCAGACTGATTGTTTGTGTCGAATAATTTTAGAAGTAAAACTAGCCTTGCATTTGAAGGATTTATATGTGAGCAGCAGCAGTGAGTTGTACTTCTTGATAGAAAGCTTAGCAGCGACGGACTGATCTATGACAAAATAGTCCCTCAACATGTGACGATTCATGTGATGCAAGGTTAGTTTTATTTCAAACATTATTCTATCAACACAGACATTTACATCAACAGTCTGGTGTAATAATAGATTGCTTAGAGTGTTTTGTGGAGTGGGTAAGACTGTTTTTAGGGGCAGGATAACTATGACCATTGACATGCACTAGCCAAACACCAGCAACCTCTGCAAATACAAGGACTGGATGGAATTTTTAAAGAAGTGTCTCCACACGTCTCCATCATTCTGGCTCACTAGGAAATGAGGTCCTATATCCAAAATTCTGAACTGTTCCTTTAAACAAATGAATGGATGCATAAAATGTATTATCTGTGAATTTTGGAGGACCAGAACTGACTTGAAAAATAGATCTTCAAATCTCAACCGGACTTTCCTGGTTAAAAGATTAAATACAAAATAAATAATATAATGATAATGTCTTACTCTGCATAGAAACTGCTAATCCTGTAGTTTAGATCTGTGCAAATATGTTCTGAAATGTGTATTAGCTTGTCAGTTCATATTTCAGTCTTTTTGTCAGTTTTTCTGTGCATGTTAAAATGTGAACTTTAAACTGAATCTTAATATTAAAACATAAATATCAAATCTAATCGGAGTTACAATCCTTCTTTGAAAAATTTCCAGTAAATAATTCCACCGAATTATAAATAATTCCCTCAAATCTTTCAGCTCTAGCCTATTCATAAATTTGTAGGGGAGTACATTTACTACATTAATATTCTTTTTAGATAAGAGATTTTAGTCAGCATGTGTCTTCTGTATTGGGATTACACAAAAGGACAATAACAAAGCTTTGACTAGTGATCCTAATATTCGTTGACGTTCCTGTTTAGGACTGATTGCCTTGGTATTGTTGTAAAGGATGCTATAAATAAACTTGGATGGATTGATACCAGAGCCTTATCATCAGTGTCATCTGTTTTACTCTGATAAACAATGTAATACTAAGAGCTGAGATTTATTAAACACACAAGACAATGAGACTAGAGTAGTTCTATGGATGATACAGTAGCAATTTGGAGTTGTCTAATCAACAATTTTTTTATTAACTAATGTTCAAAAAGTAAATGCACACAATGTACCATTATCCATTCATTTAAATTAACAAGATTTAGTCAAGTTCTTTGGGACACTGTAAAATGTGTCATTGTATTGTATGCAAATATGTGAACTGGTTCAATTAAAGCAGAGGTCTCCACCTTTTTTCACTACTGAGCTACCTTTATGAAACAAAAATGCCAAAGAGCTACCAATTTCAGCAGTTGCAATGAATGAATAAGAGGCTTTAGATGGAGAACAGTTACTGTAGATGCTTATAAAACATAAAACATAAACCATTATTGATTTATATATGTACCAAGTTAGGCATCAAAATGATAAATTTTTCACTGGTAATTAATCAAATTTAACTTATTATCCACTATACGCATTGTTCAAAAATCCCTTGGTGAGCTACTTGGGAGTGGGTGGAGATCTACTGATAGTTCCTGAGCTGCAGGTTGGAGACCCCTGAGATTGTGACCAGACAGAATCTTCTACTGCCTCTCTTTACAACACTTTACAGCTATAATTTATAATATGGTGTCCCGATTGTAATTCACTAATAATTTTGGACAAAATACACAAGCTGTGTGAAAATATCCTTTGTATAGAAAATCACAAAGAGAGACCTTATTTATAAAAACATATCATATGTGTTGTAATTCGGTTGAAAATAATTCTTTAATGCAACTTTTTTTTAATACCTTAAGGGTACTGTATAACTTTCTGGAGGTGGCACATCACCTGCATGAGTAAATGGAAATAGAATGTTAAAACCATACTTCACAACATGAGTTTTATATCATACCTCTTCCAAGATTTTCAGTGCAATAAACACAATCTAAACAACAATAATAATATTTTTTATTTTAGTCTATTTTTCAAGATTTACAATCTAAATAACAAATATTTGATTAGGAAAGTATTAAATCTTGCTCATGTGAAAAATTTACTTATTATGGGCTATTCATGTGTCCACTGTTGCACTCCCTTCTTAATTATGCAAATTATAGTCCATGTAAAGAAAGACACTGGTTAAATTCCACATTATTTGTTGTCCTTCACAGACCTCATTTAACCTTAGCTGTGTTTATCTGAGGTCAGCAGACTCCCTTGAACTGTAGCCTTCACATTGACACCATCTATACTGTACAGAAGTAGCCAATGGCATCAGCGCTGTTTATTGCTGGTGGTAGTATGTTCAGGTAAATAAACTTAAACAACTTTACTTTATTAGCCTTGAAAATATAAGGGGGGATAACTATATAATAGTTTAGTATATATAATAGTAGCTATTTATCAATAAGATTGTCAATTTTCTTTTGAAGATATGAGAATGTTGAGTATCTGGTTTATCAATTATAGTGAAAAAAAAATCCTGTTTATGTTTACTCAAGTCGTGAGGAGACAAAGAAACAAAATTACATTAGCGATGGAAACTACTTGAAGAAATAGCAATTTATTGAACCAATATAAAGAATGAGAGCTTTTCAAATGAGTCTGAGTAACAGCAAAGTTGCTGTTATTACTATATGCTGAACCTCTATGAGAGTACATTTACTCAGTGTTTCCCTTTAATAGAGAATGGAGGCCTTGCATAATCTACTTTTCTCCCCCTTAAATCTAAAAACAAGATGAAGAAAGCTATGCTTTCACAATATCATATAAAAGTAACAGTATTGTTAAAAAGAACCCTTTAAAGATTAAATACATGTTACATCAACATTTTATTCCAATAAATTCTAATAAATGTTTTCAAATAAAGATTATCTGTAGCCTCAGGAGAATATATGGGATATAGTTTCTCAAATAACATCTTCTGTATAATTTTCCTGCAGATTGTGTAGACTGGGATTATACAGTAGGACAATATGAAAGGTTATCAGTTAATCACTGGTGTTATCTGTTTTACTGTGATGGATACAGAGGTTTACAATGGGTTAAATGCTTCTGAGAACTGTATCAGTGAACTATTTGACCTATAGCCTATGAAGATTCAGTGCATTCAGTCACTGTGTGAAAAGTAGCTATGTGTAGCAAACATGTTCATTAATTCAGTTTAAGATTGTGATCAGACTATAGAGCTGCAATAAACAATTATTTCATTACTCGACAATACAGTGATTATTTTTTGATTAGACTAGTCAAAGAATAATTTAAATTGTGATTTTTTTTCAAACAAAAGCTGAAATGTGGTGAATGAGGGAATATTCACAAAAAAGTTTTATTGAAGAAATTTTAAAATGGTATATTTAGCCTAATAATGCCGCCGTTTGTATTAAACATTTTTTGGCATGTCTGTATGTAATATCAGTTAGCTTTTAAAAATGATCAAAATACAATAACTGTTAATGTTTTAATCGAAGACTAGTCATGATTATTCTGATGAATAGTTGCTGCCTTTTAGTTGTTAGTGCAAGATGCTGTTTCAGTTAAAACAAGACTAAACACACCTGGGTTGGTATGGTTTTTATAAATAACATTTTGAAAAGAGTGTGTACATTGTGCATTCTCATGTCAGTCATAATCTGAGGGACTACTGTCGCTGCATTTCACGGATTTCTGTATTTTGCCTAAACAAATGACAATTTATGCTGCTTTACTATTGGTAGGGATCAGGTTCGTCAAAAAATGTCATTGTCCTGTTTCAATCCTGGTTTAGAGTTGATGTGGTCCTGGTTTAATCTGGGATATTTCTTACATAAAACTGAGGCAAATCACTGGTTTTATATACATCTGCTGGGACAGAGGACATAGGGCTCAAAACTGGGACTGTCCCGGGTAAATAGGGATGTCTGGTCACCCTAGACCAGGGGTGTCGAACTCAAATTCACAGAGGGCCAAAATAAAAAAAAACTGGGACTGCCGTGGGCTAAACTAAATATTTACTGAAAAATTTCAACATATGCATGTTTTCTCTTCTTTTGAGATATGTAATGTTAAAGCTTTTCTTATTAAAATAAATGTTTAATAAGAGTTTTGCTTAAACATTGAATCCAGAACAAGTATAATATAAAATAAAAGTAGCCAGCGGGCAGCTGTAATACATATTTGATATGATCTCGTGGGCCAAATATAATTAAATCGTGGGCCAAATTTGGCCCCCAGGCCTGAGTTTGACATGTCTGCCCTAGACAAAGGTGCCTGGGGTGATTTTGTCACATGCAATAAAAAGTGATGCAGAAAGATACATATTTGTTCATGATTTTATTTCTTCTTTTAATCTTGACTTTATGTTTTTAACTGAAACATGGCTTGACAAAAACACAGGTCATGCAGTGCTAGTGGAATCAACCCCTCCCAACTTCAAATTTGAATCTGAAACACGAGCAAATAAAAAGGGTGAAGGAGTGTGTGCATTTTTTAGAGATCATTTGGTTACACACAGGTTGTCATTTGGGGTGTTTTCATCATTTGAGTATGTTTCCTTCAAAATGGAGCTAAAACAATCACCGTCCATACTCTACATCGTCATATACAAACCTCCTCAGCACTGTCAAAGTTTTGTTGATGATTTTACTGAGATACTTTCAGTTGTATGCACAGACTTTGATGGTTTAGTCATTACAGGTGATTTTAATGTACATGTGGATAATGTGTGTGACAAAAATGCCAAAGAGCTTAGTGTTGTCCTTGAAACTTTTGGTCTGACTCAGCATGTCAGTGAGCCCACTCACAACAGAGGGCACACTCTGGACCTGCTCATTACAAAGGGTGTAAATATTTCAAATGTCAATGTGGTTGATGTTGCTCTGTCTGATCATTTCTGTGTCTTCTTTGACCTGTCTGTTATTCCCAAACCACCGGCTGCTCCTACAGTTGTTCGAAGAAGACACATAAATGATAACACAGGTGCACTGTTCATGGAAATGATCAATTTTGAAATTGCCTCATGTTCTAATGTTGATGATATGTTGAAGTCTGTGACTTTGAGTGTTTTGAATGTTCTGGATGCCATCGCCCCGATAAAGGTTAAAATGGTTAAAGATAGGCAAAAAGCTCCGTGGAGGAATGATGACTCAGTCAGAGCACAGAAAAGGGAGTGCCGGAAGGCTGAGCGGAAATGGCGCAAGTCAAACCTCCAGGTTCATTATGAGATTTACAGAGGAACAATGCATATGTACAACTACACTTTGAGTAAAACAAGAGAGAAGTATTTTTCGGACATTATTGGTAATTGCAGTAACAACTCTCGTGTCCTGTTTGCAACAGTGAACAGATTAACAAACCCTCCAGCTCCACTGCCACTAGAACTAATTTCCACATCTAAATGTAATGAGTTTGCAGTTTTCTTTAATGACAAAGTTCAGGGCATCAAAAATGCCATCAATTCCACAACACAAAAATAACAAGCATGCACCCACAGAGACACTTAGAGCTGAATCACTTTGCACCTGTAACTGACAAAACTGTTTTTTAGAGATCGTTACCAGTCTGAGTTCATCTACTTGCTGCCTGGACATGTTACCCACTAGATTTCTAAAGTCCGTCCTCAACAGTTTACTTTCACCACTCACTCACATAGTTAACATGTCACTTCAATCTGGAACATTCCCAAATGCGTTGAAAACTGCGGTCATTAAGCCTCTCCTAAAGAAGAGCAGTCTTGATGCCACAGTACTGAACAATTTCCGACCCATCTCAAATCTGCCGTTTTTTGGCAAAGTCCTTGAAAAAGCTGTTTACCAACAGCTTACGAATTTTCTCCAAATGAACAACTCCTTTGATGTTTTCCAGTCAGGTTTTAGAGCCCACCACAGCACTGAGACTGCGCTTATCAAGGTGACAAATGACATCCGCCTGAACACTGAACACTGATGCAGGCCAAGTCTCAGTCTTGATCCTGTTAGATCTGAGTGCTGCTTTTGACACTGTCGATCATGGGATCCTCTTACAGAGACTAGAGGACTGGGTGGGCATCTCTGGTACTGTGCTAAACTGGTTCAAGTCCTATCTAGAAGACAGGAAGTATTTTGTTGAAATTGGAAACTGTGTCTCAGATCACATGGCCCTGACCTGTGGGGTGCCTCAGGGGTCAATCCTGGGCCCCCTGTTGTTCAATCTCTACATGCTGCCATTAGGCCAGTTAATAAGCAGCAATAACCTGTCCTACCACAATTATGCAGATGACACTCAGATCTACGTCTCTCTGGCAGCAGGAGACTATGGACCAGTGGACTCACTTGGTCATTGCATCCAACAGATCAGTGTGTGGATGCAAAACAACTTTCTCCAGCTAAACTCTGACAAGACTGAAGTCATAGTGTTTGGTCCACAGAAACAAAGGGACAGTGTCAGCAGTCACCTCCAGTCTCTCTCTCTAAAACCTTCAAATCAGGCAAGAAATCTAGGGGTAATAATGGACTCAGACTTGAACTTTAACAGCCACATCAAATCAATAACATCCGCAGCCTTTTACCATCTAAAAAACATAGCGAAAATCAAAGGTTTACTGTCTAAAGCAGACTTGGAGAAACTTATCCATGCGTTTGTCTCCAGTAGGTTAGACTACTGTAATGGTCTGCTCACTGGTCTCTCCAAACGAGCTGTGAGACAGCTGCAGAACATCCAGAACGCTGCAGCTCGGGTCCTTACTCGAACTAGGAAGTACGAGCACATAAGTCCTGTGCTCAGGTCTCTGCACTGGCTTCCTGTGCCTCAGAGAATAGACTTTTAAAACAGCTCTGCTTGTGTACAAGTCTCTCCATGGCCGAGCACCAAAGTACATCTGTGACATGTTAGTGTCATATGAACCATCTCGCACTCTGAGGAGCTCAGGGACCGGCCTCCTGCTGGTGCCCAGAGTCACAACTAAACAAGGGGAGTCAGCGTTTCAGGTTCATGCAGCTAAAACCTGGAACAGTCTGAACATGTGAGACAGACTCTTCTGTGACGCTGTTTAAATCCAGGCTCAAAACATTTCTGTTTAACTCTGCATATAACTGAAAGGTTTTCATTCCGCACTCTTCTCTCCAATTTATGTCTCTCTTTTTTTTATTTTAATCTTCACGATTATTTATGTTTTGATTTGTTTTTATTATGATTTTAATGTATTTCTTATTCTGTAAAGCACTTTGAATTACTTTGTGTACGAATTGTGCTATACAAATAAACTTGCCTTGCCTTGCCTATTTGTTTCATATATTATACTATTTTACCTGCATATATTTGAGTCACAGATGTTTTTATTTCACTTCCAAACGCAGTGTGCAGCCTCTGATCATGGATCTGTGAAGCAGCTCCACTGCACATGGGGAGAGTGCTGAAGACTCCCATGATGCATTGCAGTGCCAACGTATACAAACCAAACAGGAACATGGCTACCGGTGTTTAAAAAACAACTCTTCATCTTAAAATAAGGCTTTGATTGTCGGATACGGCTTATCACAGGACAATATCAGTGGCGTCCTTCATATCGGAGTGAATCTGGCGTAAAAATCCACGCACGGATCAAGAAAAGTGATTAAAATCTGCGACTGCGTGACAGCTCATCCATAGACAGGTAACGGAGGAGTTAGCATTGCGGCTAGCATTCAAGCTAATCAGCGTTAGCATTATCCATAAATTGATGCCAAAATTATAATTAAAATTAGTTTAAATAGTGTGATGTGTGTTATTAACATATTTGCATTTAGTTAGGAATAAAACTGATCAAAATATCATATTTAATTTCTTACGTAAGTGGATTGTTAGCATTAGCAGCCTCCCTACTGTTACATTTTGAGACACGACTGCAATTTTCTTCAAAAAAGCTATTCTAATATCACAATTTTATAATCTGATTGTCTTTATTAATTAGTGATCCACGTTACATGTCGCTGTTTTGATAATTTGCTGTGAATTTTTTATGTTTTCAAGCATCACTGCCACGTTGATAGGGATTTTGTATGCAATAGCCTCCTGTCAGTTTTAGTAAAGGTAATATTTAGTGAGTCATTAGTAAATCATTTTTAACTCTACGTAACTCAGGCTACCTGTTTGAATTTATTTTAAAATATTATTCATATTAAAATCAGCAGTCAGTCAGTGAAGCTTTATCAGAATCAGACTTAGCCCAAGGAAACATACTTTTTGTTACAATTTCCTTTCACAGACAATATGTGCAAGAATCAATGAATGAATGAATTTTGAAAGAAAAATAAACAAATCAATAACAGAAGTTGACAACAGTCTAATCAGTAATACTGTATTTACAGCATATTTTTTTTGCCATATTAGCAAGTCTGTATGATGCAATGTATATTTATTTTCCAGTCAAAATGGCAAGTCCCAGGACCAGGAGAGTTTTGAAGGAAGTCAGGGCTGACGATGAAAACAATGTAAGTAAACGTAGCAAGATTCCTTGTATCATATTCTCACATTCTTGTTCTGTAAAGTAGAATGTACAAATTGCTCTACAAATGAAGTAGTCTTTCCTGCTAGTAGTGGTTCATTATTTTGAGAAGTCCTCCTGATTCTACTTTGTGATGTTTTTGTTTTTCCTCAGCTCTGTTTTGAGTGTGGAGCCTTTAACCCTCAGTGGGTCAGTGTCTCGTACGGGATCTGGATTTGTCTTGAGTGCTCTGGGAAACACAGGGGTCTAGGAGTGCACCTCAGGTAAAGACTAACTACTAGAGGTAAGATCTTAAGACCGAGCCCAAGCCCGACCCGACCCGACCCGACCCGAAATTCGGGTCGGGTCGGGTCTAAAATGTCAATCATTACTTCGGGTCGGGTCGGGCTCGGGCTTCAAATAAATATATGTTTATAAAATGTATGCTAAAACGATGTGTGGATACTAAACTAAGGAATACTTGTTATAAAATAAATAATATGGATAAAACAGAGAAGTAATGTAATGTAATTGCTATTTAGCTACTAAACAGGATCCGCAGAGCCAGAGCTCTGCGCACGTGAACGCCCCCTCTTAATTTAATAATCTTCCCCTCCGCAAGTCTGCATCTATTTTGACCTGGTATCCCCAATATGGAGGAGCAAGAAGTTAAACTAAAGGCAGGAGAACTGAAAAGACAAACACGCACCGGTAAGAGTGAGGTGTGGAAAAGCTTCAAATTGATTGTTGAAAATGCTACAGAAACTTGCGTTGGCTTCGCTGAATGTCGTCAGTGTGGCGCTTTGCTTTCATACGAGAGCAAAAAGACTGGCAGCTCGACGCTGAGCACTGCTCCTCCTCCCGAGTCCTCACAAATAAAATATGACATTGCGGGTTTGCTTCGGGCTCGGGCCTGCAAATCAAGTTAATTGGTCGGGCTCGGGCCGGGTCGGGTTTTAATACCCGCGGGCCGGGTCGGGTCGGGCTGGATTTTTTAGGCCCGATCTCACCTCTACTCACTACTCATAATTAAGTAAATATCATTATGTCTATGTTAATGTCATTGAGTGGTTTACAAATTGATACAATAAAGTGAACAGAGTTGGATCTTAATTCATAACAAATTAATAAGTGAAATACTTCAGGGACAGGATGAATCACAGTAGTACATCTTGTATGTGTAACTATAGTGCCTGGTAAGTAAAGCTTATGAGCTCATTACACTTGAAATTAGCACTAGCCAAATACTGATGTGTTTAGCCAACAGAATCATATCCTTATTTTTGCACATATTGTATTGTTCATTTAAGGTTCTTTGGTTATTGTTTTAATGAACTGTAAAACATTAAATAAAAAATAAATATATGACATTACTTTTTTGTTTGACTTTATTGATATATTGATATATGATATTTAATTTAAACCATCTTTCGTCAGTGTGAGGAAAATCACTGGAGTATATTTACTGAATCAATGACCAAATCCTGCCAAAATAAGAAAACGGAAATGGCAATCATAAACTGTAAATGTATTCTAAACATAATTTATACATTTTTTGTTATATTGTTTTAGCTTTGTGCGGTCAGTTACCATGGATAAGTGGAAGGACATCGAGCTGGAGAAGATGAAAGCTGGAGGAAACAGGAAGTTCCGGATGTTTCTGGAGCTTCAGGATGATTATGATCCCAACTGGACTCTGCAGGAAAAGTACAACAGCCGGGCCGCCGCTCTGTTCAGGGACAAGGTACACTCAGGATTGTGTATGTAACAATAATATGATAAACAGTATTGAACTTGCTGCACGTCATATTTCTAATCTTGTAGGTTGCTACTTTAGCCGAAGGAAAGGAGTGGTCCATCGAAACTTCCTCTGCCAAAAACTGGACTTCTCCTCAACCCAAGACCTCCCTGTCCTCCTCTCATCGGTGAGACTGAAAATATAAGTCCTAAGTCAAAGCCCTCACCAGGTTACATAACCAGTGTTTTTCTGCATATTAAATTGTTTAAATTGGAAAATTGTATGGGACAGACTGTATTGAGCCTTATTTGTCTGCTTGTTGGGTAAATGTCTTTAATATGATGCATTTTGGTGGACACAGTTATGGTTTGGATGAGGTCTGGGAAGTCCCTGGTACAAGCTGGGGAAGCTTTGAGGAAAAAAAAGGTTGGGAAACCACTGGATTTCTTCTCTCATACCGGACAAGACATTTTAACACCAACCTTTTCTGACCATAGAAGTAATATATGCAAACCATGATGTGCATTAATAATGCAGTGGGTTTATGTTTAGCTTTTTTTTTTTTTTTTGTTAGTATTTGGTCCTTTTGGCAGGTGGCATGACTTCACAGAGCATTGAATTTGACTCAGTGACCAGCACAAAAAAGGAATTGTACCAGTTTATACATTGTAAAGAAATGTAGAATTGTTTGGTTGGATATAGATAATGTAAAATTGTATTGCTTTTTTCTAGTTCAAGTGGAACGACACAGGACTCTGGGAAGTCAGGAGACAAGGCTTTTGAAGACTGGCTCAGTGACGACGTCAACTCTTATCAAAGGTCTATCTCATAATAGGTTTATTCTTCATCTATAGTGCATTAGTAAGTTAATTTCTTTTATAACCACTGTACTTTACCATGTCTGCAGTGGAGGAGGCTACAGCGGGAACCAGGAAAACCGTTATGTGGGATTTGGTAACACAGTGACCCCAGAGAAAAAAGAAGAGGACTTTCTGAACAACGCCATGTCATCCATATATTCAGTCAGTTTAAATTCACTGTGGAGCTTGTTTTAGTTTTGGTTTTGGTTTGGAAACTTTAATCTAAACTGTATTTATTTGTGACAGGGATGGAGTAGTTTTACAGTTGGGGCAAGCAAGTTTGCCTCCTATGCTAAAGATAATGTAAGTATTGATTTCTTCAGTTACTAATGCTTTGTTATTCAAAATCAGATGAGGAAATAACAATGACTTTTGATCATGTTGTATCTGTAAAAAATATTGTAAAGAAATGTCTAATTTCAAAATGTACTTGAGCATCAGTTAAAACATACAATGAAAGATCCTGTTCATAATAATTATAGAAAAAATAGATTCATAAGTAATAATATACTATAGAAGACTGTATTTTTATTTGTATTCGTTATTTAACGGACAACACATTGGAGTAATTTATATATTTATTTATTTCACAGACAACAAAATTAGCCAGCCAAGCCCAGCTGAAGGTAAGCTCTATTGGTGATCTTTGGCTTGAAGATTTGGAGTGTTTATAATAGTTAATAATTTCTTTTGCCATTTTGCCTATTGAAGTTCTAAACACATTTTTGAGTAATTAAATAATTGCTTATATTTGAAATCTCTTTGGCCTCGGTGGATGTAGTTAAAGGGGTATAAGGCTCCTCCCGAACCGGTAACACATCTCGCTCATAGGTGCATGGCCATAAATCATATCATGTTCAAATTATGTTTTAGTTTTTACATCCGTTTGACGTCTATTAAATGTATTATTATTATTTGTACCATCTTTTTACATTGCAAAATGGTCATTGTCGCATGATTCTGCATGAATTAACGTTTTATTATAAAGAAAGAAAACATTGCAGAGAATTACTGAGGCATTTCTCCAGCACAGCATATTATAGATGATTCTGTATTGTATTGTCAAAACAAAATCAATACCCATATACTAGTTCATATGAAAAAGATACTGAAACTAGTGTTGAAACTAGATACTCATTTGAAGTATCAAAGTATCAAGGACAAAATTGGACAAAGTATGACAAACTAGTATGGGACCGCATGGTTATAACAAATTAACTATTATTATTTTGTGTTGAAAATTACTTTCTATTGATGTTTTTAAGCATTGTGGTTGTGAAATTGGTATTTGTAACAAGCCTTTTTCTTCTTGGCTAGGTAGCTAGAAATTATTGATTTTGTGACAGCACTTGTAGCTACTTGAAAAGACTGCTCAAATGTTCTGAAATGTGTCTGATTCTCATATTAGATCAGCAGATCAAATTTTACTCTTCTCTCTCATGTTAATGCTTCTAGTTATATTTAAAATGTGCACTATAAACTGAATTGTGATTTCAAATACATAAACTGCAGATCTTTTGAGCTAACTAGTGTCATGATACAAACATTTTTGAAACTAAGGAATAGACTCAACAATTCTGATGCCACGATGATATTTACAACAGTACGACAATATTTAGACAAGAGAATGTGATTTTCAACATTAAATCATAGTACTTTCTTTTGTATTACCATGTGGCCTTATCCCTCAGTGTTCCAGGTAGGATCTATAGTGGTCCATGGGCGTACTAGTCTCTTTGCTCTTCTTATACTTGTTCTGATACAGCTCAAGATCATTCTAAAGCTATTCAGGAAAGCTTTGATACTAAAATTAGTATCTGATTTTTGGTACTTTTGACAACCCTAGAGCAAATACACAATTTGCCACATAAATTGCAATTTGATATCTTTCCTGAATAGTCCATTTCTATTTTAAATTTAGAAGAAACTAAATGAATAATGTATAATGTGCTGAGAAGGGATTGCCTTTATTTCCTCTGCCTAAAATGTTGTTCTGTGAAGCACTGGTCCATTCATGCATGTTTAACAGGTAACACGGCACTAGAGGTGTAACGCAATATCCTGCACAGATAAACTAGTTGAGGATTTACTAAGCCACTATGGCAATAAAGCTTATCTCAATTTAATAATAGTAATTACTATTCTTTGTTTCCTGGCTTAATGGAACTGTATTTAGTCTTCTAATTAAAAAGATATTACAATTACAAGTCATCACTGACATTAAAATCTTGCATGCGGTCGTTAAATGCTGAAACTGAGAGATTAAGAATGATCTACAAATTGTTCATCATAATTATTCTAGAGTTATCCTGTAATACAAAAGTTATTGAAATTCATAGACATTTTTATTTGATGGCTGCATAATATATTTGAATCTGATTTTACATTTAAAAGAATCTCAGTTTGATATGCAAGTTTAAATCTTGTCATTCATAAACTGTCACAACAAAAATTAATTTAAACTGTAAGTTGGGGTACATTTTCCATTTTTGTAGGGACCTTTCTCCATTCAAAAGTTATGTAATATAATTTGATTAGGAGTGAGTAATTGCTGTAACAATGGGAGTGTTGTCACATCTTGAAGCCTATGAATAGTGACAAGTGCGCCCTCTAGTGCCTGTTCATTGCTGTTGAATGGATTGTATTATTTTGCTCTTTTGTGAATGCTGAACTCTTGATTGAACTTCCTCTCTGACCTCTGACTGTAGGCCACTGAATTAGGACAGACTTTAAATGAGAGTGTTATCAAACCCACTCAGGAAAAGGTAACTGTACCTGGAGCTGTGGTGGTTGCTCGCTGCTTTAGTGGACAAATAATCAGCTTTACTGTCTTATCCTGTCTTTGCTTTGCTTTCTGCTTGGCCGTTTTGTGTGTTTATATGTTTACTTTGGAGCTCAACAGTGGACAAGGCAAGAAATCTCAACAACACAATGTATAAATTAAGAAATTAAACGTGTCACATGTCATTTTTCTTGAGGAGGGTCAGCTACCGACTTCATGGCGATGGTATTGCTTTGATTGAAGTGCTTCACAGTATGGCATTAAACTTTACGTCACCTGCTTGTTTCCATGGAGACTGACAACAGGGTCAAATTACAGTTACAGGTCAAATCCGTGGAGAGGTGTCCGTAATCACAGTAAAAATGCTTGTTTTTTTTTTTAAGGTATAAACACATTTGTAAGTGATAAGATAAATAAATACCGTATTTTGCACACTAAAGGGCGCTATGGATTATAAGGCGCACTGTCATTGAATGTTCTGTTTTCCAACTTTTTTCAAATATAAACCGCACCGGACTGTAAGGCGCATTAAACGAAACACAACAGTTAAACAAGTCAATCAAACTTTATTTAAACGTGCTCACAATAACGCTCAACTTTTTTCCATTGTAACGCGTAAAAAATACTGCTAAATTGTTAGCGTATTCACAAAAACTCATAATTGTTCAAACAGTTGGGTGATTACGGCATCCAGCACGCCCGCATCCCTCTCGTCATTATCCGAGTCAGTGTCGTTACTGTTACTTGCTGTTACCTGCACTGTCTCCCTGTCTTGGTGAATGTGTGTTCACCTTCTCTCATCATGAACTCTATAACAGCCTTGAGTTTAAAGTCGGCGTTGTAAGCGTGTCACTTGACAGGTGCATTTTGATATTAAAAGGAATCACAGTATGTATTACTCCACAATGCTCCTGACCATGGAGCCGTAACACTGAAAGTGGTGCGGCTTTGGAGTTTACTGAAGTCGTACTAATACACCTACCTGAATAAATTCATATATAAGGTGCTCTGGATTATAAAGCGCGCAGTTGGTTTTTGATGAAATTAAAGGCTTTTAAGTGTGACCTATAGTGCGGAAAATATGGTATGTTTAAAATGCCATACCGTGGAACATTACAGGCGCATCTCAGTGGAGATGAGCAGGTGGCCAAAAAAGTTACACAGTGCACCTTTAATGATATAATACTGAATACAAAAATGAAAAACATAAATACAACTAAATTTATCTATAATGTTGTACTTTATAAAGTTACAGAAATAGATTTTAGGCAGGGATGGGTGGTACTTATTCCTCCTACTGTTTTTCTTTTTTTTTTTCCTGAACACACTACAGATTTTTAGTTATTGCCATCTACTAGTAACATGGAATAAATGCGACGGCCTGGTCCATTGTTGATATCCAGTGACACTGTATTTAACTGCTTCAATCACCTGCTCAGTTGGTGCAATGGGGTCTAATCTAATCTAATGAAATAATGATGAAAATTGGGGATAAATACCACAGGTGAGATCATACTCTTCAGTGACATCAAAACAGAGCTGTTCATTTGGCAGTTTAGATTTGGATTTTGGATTTACTTTTGAGTATGATATTGCCAACAGCACATAATTTAAAATACCTGAGAGTACTTCTATTATCTACTAAGAAATTGCATATCTAATTTTGTGGTTCATTCAATTTAAACACAGTTCGAGTCAAATCAGGCTTCAAAATTACAATAGATGTAAAAAAAATATGTGAATCATTTAATATCCAGTGAAAAAATACACAAATAATTTTGTCTTAAATTTAAAATGAGCAGCTCTTATGTGCTTCACTGTGGTGTACGGGCAGAAAATGTTTAAAATCTTTATCGTTGCTTCTCCATAATCTTGTCATATTTACAGTTCAGTAATATACCAATTTGTAGCATTGTAGCAGCTTGTCCAATTATTATAGAAGGTTTAATTGCATTCTCTTACTTTAAAATGATCAAATTGTCTTTTAAAACCAAATCATTAGTTTAAAATGGTAAGGAGGGGCCTGCAACATGGTTATTAAGGCTTAAAAATGTGAAAATAGCATGCTAGTGTGCACTTCCTGATAATTCCCGGTACAGTGAAATGCTTTCTGATTAGATGCAGACAGCACGCAGCACACATATTTGCATTTTATACAATACATCTGTACTGGCAAGACGAGTTTTGCTCAGGTACAGGGCATTTAAGTAATATTTTAACCAAAATCATGCACTAAAATTTTCTTTTTTCCGCTGCCATAAAGGCCCCTCCCAGCTGTGTGCACTGCATAACGCTACATCACTCAAATCAATGCTTCTACTTAAGCCAAAAATATTTAAATTCCTGTTTTCAGAATTGTGTTAATTATTATATGACTCGTTTAGGTCAAAGATGGAAAATTATTAGATGAAATGGCTGTCGGCATTTCTGGGCTGGCGAATAAGGTATGTTTATGTGCACAGCTGTGAAATCAGTCTCCTCAACCAGGGCTAATCGTGAGTGTATTTTAGTTTAGAGTTATGGTAATTATTTACTGCACCCGTATTGGTGATGGAGGCTGGTTTTGCAGTGAATTTATTATTTCAGCAATATTTAATGTATTTTGTCTGTTGTTTTTTTCCTGCTGCCTTTGTGGAATGGTAAGAATTAGAGCCACTTACACTTCCCTGTAGAAAACATGTGTCTTTGCCTGGCCAGTGGAGGGCGATATTGACCAAAATTGTTATTACAAACATTTTTTGGTTTACCCTGATGAAGTGATGGCACTCCACGAGAAATATGTATAAAAAATGCCTACAGTATAAATGTCTTGATTGAGGTTCAAATAATATACGAAACTTGAGTACACTATATAAAATTAACCACATAAGTGCACAGATATCATTTTACATCCTTTACACTGTCAGTTTCATTTTTATATTTTTTATTATTTGCCCCTTTTCAGCTTTTATATTTATTTATTTTATTACAGCAGGTATGCAAAATAACAAACAGTCTTTTATTGAGACATTATACATTTTCCCAGTAATTTTTCCCATCTCCACTGGCAAGTCTGACAAATATATTTTATTCCAGAGCCTCTCTCACTCAAAGTAACATACATGTTTTGACTTTAAGTTGTTTCTGGTAGTACTTTTTCCTTTAGTCAATTGATGGCTAACCCATGACTCATTTCCTTCAGATGCAGGGAGCTGGAGCCAAATTGACAAACCTCTTTACTGGAAAACCTGAAGATGGGTGAGTTTCAAATGTTTACAGTAATATATATTACAGTCTCAAACATGTGACCGTGAACTAAGTGAGTGTGACGTCACCCACAGCGTTCAGCTCCAGTCAAACGAAGCTCACGATGCTACGAGTTACAGGGCGAATTTGGAGCCAGGCTTTATGTTATGAATAGAACAGGCAAAATGGCGAAAACAGAAACGCCAGGATCATGTAGAACAGGTTAATACAAACATTTTAAGAGCAAAATAAGGAGGCTCTCTGCAGCAGTTACAAAGAGAGGGGCCACAATATTCCAATGTAAGTCAATGGGAGCCAGGGTCAGAAGGAGCCAATCTACGCTATGCATGTGACTGAATGCTGCATATTTATCATTTATCCAAATGTCAAATTTTACAGTTTACTCTTAAAAGTAGAATTCTGTTCTGAGTGCACATTGTACAACTCCAGGTGCATTAACATTTGTTAGAAGTCTGAGAACACAGTCATTATCAAAATAATTGTAGCTTTTGCAATAAATAATTACGCCAACTCAAACTGTAACTGTAACTGTTAGGACTACCCTAACCAGAGGATTTTACTGTGCATGTTTGTTTAGTATTTATGTTTATTTTACATATTACAGCGTTGAACTGTTCTTATGACCTCTTGTTTATAGCTGAGATATATTTGTATTACCGTATTTTTCTGACTATAAGTTACACTGGACTATAAGTCGCACTTTTATAAAATCAGAGACCAGGAACCAACATTTCATCTTGAAAGGCAAGTTCTAGTAATAACAATAGAACAGAGAACAACAGACTGTTAACGTCACATATGAACAGTTCTTCAGATAACTATAACATAAACAACAGAACAGAACAAGTTTACCAAACTCTCCATCTCACTCCAAATCACTAAATCCATTGAATTTTTCATCCTCTGTGTCACTTCTGAGCAAATCCTCGACCTCCGGAAGTAAACGGAGCGCCGCATCCTCTTCTGCGTAGCTGTTGTCAGACTCAGCATCAGTTCCAGTTAGGTTGTCACTGAAGTTTATGCTTTGTGGCTACATCCACCAGACAAGACAGCGCCTCTTTCTGCAGGAGACATATGCAGTAGAGTGAAGTGACAGTGGTACAAGAGTAATAGGAATAGCAGATCCTGACACACGTGCCTAGAGCGCCCTCTAGCAGCTGTCTGTGTGAAAATTTTAATATATAAGTTGCACCGGAGTATAAATCACAGGAAACACCCCAAAATGAAAAAAGTGCAACTTGTAGTCCGAAAAATATGGTACTATATTTCTGTATTTTATTTTTACTTGTACATTTACATTTATATAATTATGTCTTATTTGACACCAGTCTCTTGCTATTTATATGACTTATTGAGAGTTTATTAGTACCATTTATATTTTTTGTCTTTGTTATTATAATATTTTGTGATGCTTGAGCCACTGCGTCCAAATAATTTCCCTTGTGAATCAGTAGTTTGTCTAAGTTCACCATCGGCATTTCCTCCTCCCCAGATCCACCGGCGAGAGCTACCAGAACATGGACAACACGGAGGGCGGATACCAGGGCGGATCAAGCCAGGCCATGGGCAAAGACTTCTGGGAAACTTTCGGCAGCAACAACTCCTTAAAAGCCAAGAAATCCCCCAGTTCAGACAGCTGGACCAACGTGGAAAACTCCGCGTCCAACAATAAGAACAGTGAAGATAGCTGGGAGGCCTGGGATAGCAACTGGGAGAATTCAGATGGTAAGAGCAAGAAGAGCCCCTCGAAACCAGTGGAAGAGAGCTGGGATAATGCAGATTGGTGAAAACGCTAGAAAAAACAATAAATTAATGTATTTAATGTGGAAACGTCATCTCATCTTTGGCACGTGCAGGGAGACAGGAGAGTCCGGAAGTGCTGTAGTTATGTAAAAAGACCCAAAAGGTTTTAAGATGGATTATACAGCAGATTTTAAGCAAAAAGCGTTGTTAAATTAAGAGATATGACGAGGGCTTGTCAAATGAAATCGCCTGTTTTTGCATAGCTGGTGAACACTATTTGAATTGAACTGAACAGGAAAAAGTACAAAGGCTCAAATAACAAATTTTCTTGAACCTACGATTATCCTAACTGTCCATTTTTCTTTATTTTTTTAAGCTAGAGTATTACTTAAAAAGCTCTGATCAGTCAGTTTAAAGGTGCATTGTGTACCTTTTGCTTTGTCTGGAATGTTTCACAGTGTTCACTACCTTCATGGAGACCAGACCAAGTTACAGGTCAGATCTGTCACACACTAAGTCAGAATGCCTGTTTTTCTATGTATTTTTGAGCTATAAAACCACCTGTAAATGACTAAATGTAAAACCGCTGTTTAATGTCACACTGTGGAACATTCCAGGCAGAAAAATTACATATCTGCAGAAATAAGCAGGTGACAGACCACCAACCAAAAAGTTACATAGTGCACTTTTAAACTAATATTTGATTTTGGCATTACTAGCACCTTGACGGAGTGTGGAGACGGTGCAGCCCTGACACAAACGATCAGAAATTCTCTATTTAATATTGTAAATGTTAGATGTCTATACTGTAAAATTGGTCCTTGGGCTGGAATAACGTAGATTAATGCATGGTTTTAACGTCTGGAATCTTAAAATGACATGCCTGTATATACAGATTAGAATATTGTAAATACAAAGTCCACATCACATCAGTTCTGTAGCCCGATCGAGACCCATTCATCAAATTAGTGAACTGGTTTTGAATACTATTTAATTCAAACCTAATACATCCTACCTGACCAATCATAGCTGTTTATCTCAAAAGGAGGCGGGCCTTTCTTGATTTTTATGTCTCTAATTCAGGGGTCTTCAACCTTTCTCCTCCGGCGAGCTGCTTTTACCAAACCATAACGCCAGAAAGCTACTCATTTTTGTGTTTGCAAGAAATTTAGTACATATAAGAGTTGGGATGGGCATGATTAGTCGATTAATCGATAATTGATCATTAAGAATTTCGTCGATTATGTTCATTTTTAATTGACAAACTGAATGTAGGTTGCTTTGCGTCCTATATTCCACTGAGTCGTGTCCTTTAGTCCGACAGAAGTTGGCCGCATCAGCGCACAAGAACTGTTTTTTTTCTTTGCTTAGTTTATGCAAATTAGCCATGCGGTTTTAAAGTTTCGTTTCTGTGAGACTTGCATAAAGCTGCATTAAACACATTATAATCTCAAATATAATTGGTCTGATGTGGCTCTATAGTGGTTACGGTTTATATGTCATAAAGTTGAATTATTTATGCAGATTAGTGGTGCAGATAGTAATAATAATGATGATCATTTTTATATAAAAACATTAATAATTAATCAATAATCGATCATTAATTCTCCCGATGATCGATTAAGAAAATTTAATCGAATGCCCATCCCTATATAAGAGGCACAGCAAGCCTTAGATAGGGTAAAGTTAGACGCCTTTAAACCATAAACCATTAAGTTTATAAAGTTCGGCATCAAAATTATACATTTACAATGCCAATTAATACAACTTTAGTTATTCAGCACAGTACGTATAATTCAGAAATCCCTTGGCGAGCTACATTGAAGGGGGTGGAGAGCTACTGGAAGTTAGTAGTGCATCTTGATGAAAAGTTATCAGATATTTTTAAACTTTTTATGAATTCCTCAAAATGATCAAGAGATTAAAATTATCTGAAATATTGTATACTAAATTGTGTAATAAATTAGCAAATTATGATACAAAAAGTTATTATTTTATTAAAGCCTAGTGTGTTTTTTTGTTTTTTTCAATAGTGCGTTTTTTTATGTACTTGCTGCCCAAAATCATGTGTATAAATAGTATAAAATGTGTTAAATGTGCAGGAGAGTGCGTTTTGACGTTTGAAAGTGTATGGGCCATTGACTGAGTGCCTGAGATTGGTTATTTTGATATAGCCAGACCAGTATCAAGATCAGCTTCATAAACTCAACTGCAGCTTGGTTAACTGTTTTACATGGATTTTATCTTTTAAGCAGAGGTGGTAAAAAGAAAATACCGATTTGATACGGTTCAATAAAAAATAAAAGCTAAATCATGACTATGATACTAAAATACTTTGTTAAACCACTTCTTGTGCAAAGTTCATACGAAACACAAACATTTTAATCCTCAAAACAGTAAAAATGTCAAATGTGTCGCATAAATGAGTTTCCTTTCACTCCACAAGCAACAAAACTGTAGCACTGTCACAAAATAATTTAGTAAGACACACCTAAAAATACTCTTGGTGATATAGCGATACAGCAGCCTACGATATCGATACTGTATCATCACATTAAACGATACGATATATCGATATTCCGATATTTTTGCACACCCCTAATTACTGCCATTACTAATTCTTCAAGTATCAAATATTGAATGTAAAATTTGCTTGAGTAAGTAATTTGAGAGTTAGTACTGATACTACTGCAGCTAATACTCGTGATCCCAGGGCCTACTTGGATGAACGCATTACCAAACCTACGAAAGATTCAGAAACATGTATTATTTAACTTTCTTTAATTCAGTTAAATTTTTTGAATAGCCCACAATCACAACAGCAGTCTCCTCACGGGGCAGAAAGTGAGAAAATCAAACTTATTAAACAGTCCTGAGCTACTTTCCACCTCTGCTTTTAAGATGACACTTCCTTGTACAATTAGCCCTAACCAAGATTTTATGCAATCATTTCATGCAAATTTTACTGCGACATGAGAGGTTTCTGAGTTTTACATACGTTCTATCTTTACTCTAATGCTGTTATTTTTTGCCTTAAACACATGTCTGTTTCCTTTCACATACAAACCACACACGATTCTAAACCAGGCACAATATATTAGCATTTTCAAAACAGTAGGCTCCATGCACAGCAACATGCTAGCTAGCTCACTATATCTTAAGGCTAACAGTCACTTTTTAAAAAATACCAATAACAATCTATTAAAATTCTAATTGATTAAAATAAAGACAATCCAATAATCTTTATAAGTAAAGTGGTTTGTATTTTGAAGTAGTTTGTAGCGTTGTTTTTAATGTTTATTATGCCTCAAAATTAGCATTAGCGTTATCATTAGCATTGAGACCCAAACATCTCTCCTTCTAAAGTAGGGTGACCAAACGTCCGTTTTTACCCGGACATGTCTGTATTTTGCGTCTTGTCCTGGGCATCCGGGTTTTTGTTTTTTTTAAAGTGATGGAAATGTCCGGGTTTTCATTACAGTTCATTGGGGGCATTAAATTGATCGGCTTTCGTAGTTCTCTGTGACTCAGAAGGAGTGAGCAAACACAAACAGTCGGTCAGTCTGCAACATACCGAAGCGTAAATGCGCATTCAACAATGACTTGTACAAGAAATTCTCAGTTTTCCGTCCCGGTCGGGACAAGTGGGAGGTCATGTGCACAGGTTGTGAGGTGAGAGTACAGTGGTCCCTCATTTATCGCGGGGGTTACGTTCTAAAAATAACCCGCGATAGGTGAAATCCACGAAGTAGTCAACTTTATATTTTACAATTATTATATCTGTTTTAAAGCTGTAAAACCCCTCACCACACACTTTATACACTTTTCTCACACAGGACAGTTACAACCCTTTTTGCATCCTTCTTAAAACTTATTGCTGCTTTCGTCCTTTTGTTATTTTCCTCCTTCTTTATGTAACGAACCCCAGATTCATTTATTCCGTAATAGAGCCCTACAGCGCAGAGTCCTGCACGGGTCCATTTTTGGAGACCCGCAGTACAACACCGCACCCGCCCGTTAACCCGTGATTATATCAAGCTTTTGCGCTGCCTACGCCATGGACTGAACCAGGACTGAACCAGGACTGAACCAGGACTGAACCAGGACTGAACCAGGGCCGGAGGTGACCGCAGGAGAAGGGACCGATGGGAGCTCCACACCTCACGGAGGTAAACGCGACAATTGCCTGATCGCGCTTTGCAGACAAACTGCTCGGCGTTCTCTTAAGTCCAAGATTAGTCCTGGTTTAGACCGGGTTTAGTCCTGACCCACCCATGTGTTTAAAAAAATAAAATAAAAAATCAGCAAGACTGCGAAAGGTGAACCGCAATATAGCGAGGGATGACTTTAGCTCAATGTCGAGGCCCCACCTCCCACCCCCGGTAAGGTGTCTGGGTTTTCACAAATGGAAATATGGTCACCCTATTCTAAAGTAAAGAAATACATTTTATATGTGTACTTTTGACCTCCACCTGCAGCTCACTGTTCACTGCCTTATCTTTAAATACTTATTCATTTTAGCATGACTCTCTTAAAAACCACAGAGATAAAATTAAACAGGAAGTAGTGATGCTAATGGTGCTGTTCTTCATGGAGCCCACTGATCGAACCTCTTATTAGAATTATGTGTATTTTGTTTTTTAGTAGAGATGGGACAAAATCTTGTGCCACAAAATCTTTTGAGATGACTTTGTCCCAAGATTGTGCACACATGAGAAAGATGAATCTGCATTTACTTTTGGACTGGACAAAAAGTTCACTTTCAGTTTCCTAACTTTTCTTGAATCTGTAGTTCCAAGAAAACAGTGCTGTGGAGCTCAACAGTGACTGCCCATCCCCAGTTCTGGAAGTGCATTTCTTCATTTTTTCCTGTAGACATTCTGAAAAAATTAATATTAAATGTTTGAAACATGCTCAGGCATAATCGGCTACGTGACTATTGACCACAAGACTTATAATTTTATTTTAAAAACTGCTTCTAAAAGTGTATAAATCATGCATTTTGCTGAATCTTGCATTTTAATTGTGCTTTTTGGACTTAAAGATGCGCTGTGTAACTTTTCTGGTACAGGGTCCACCACCTGCTGCTTGTCTCCATGGTTATGTAATTGTTTTGCTTGCAATGTTCCACAGTACGGTATTTTACATGTATTCCATTACAGATGTATTGCTTAAAAATACCAGGAAAAACATTGTATCTTTAGTTGCTGATGAGTTTAATGCTTTTATGGTGGAACATTCCAGGGAAACAATAATAGCTCCATAAAGACAAGCAGTTGGCAAACCTTCCACAAGAAAAGTTACACAGTGCACCTTTGAAATAAATACATTATGGATATTAGTGTGATGCCTTTGAACTCTTAATATTAGAATTTCTCGAAAAGTCTATGGGAAAAAGTGAATTTACTCCCTGAACTGAAGCGAGTCACTGTTGAGCTTCATAACAACCACACAACTGTAGATAAATCTTAAAATTTTGAGGCCAAAGTTGTGACCTGAAATGCACAATTAGACTTCTTATTAATGTCAAAATCTCATCTCGTTCTTCTGACCCCAATCTCCTGTTGTATCTTGCGTCTCGTCTCATTGAAATTGTCTCATCCCTTGGCTAGTTTTTCACCGTTTTCATTTAGACTTTTCAGAGTTGTAGTTCCATATTGGCTGAAACGCTTTACGCTGTACTATGACACTTGTGTGGCCTTGACGTTGGATAACATTGACCATGGGGTGATGTTTATGGACCATTTCCTACCTCTTACACCACAGTTTACGTACCTGAAATCTGTACTGTTTTTATTTTTCTCGTTTTGATGTTGTGACACTGCAAATGTGTGATAGTCAAAAAGTGTGTGTAGATTTTGTGTGCAATAATCACTCCTGGAGAATACACTAAATCAGCCATAACATAATGACCACGGAATGGACAGGTGTATCTTTATTTTATTTTACATTTGGGGTAGGACTGAATTGCAGTTTTGTAGCCTGTTTATCAAGATCCATTCTTTTAATCAGTGAGCTGGGTCTTTACACTTTCCAATTCAAAACTATTACATGATGAAGAAGTTTTAACAGCCTTTTCTCTCCCCATTTTTATTTGGTTCAAGTCAAGATTCTTAGCGCTTCTTCATGAAAACCTATTCTACTTTTTTTTAAGTTTAACACTCAAAATGATCGAGGGATTATGGAAAATTATCAAGGGATATTATGTACTAAATTATGATATAGAAAGATATATTTTTTGCATTTGCGATTTTTGTTTTAATAATAAGTTTCTGTTCAAAGTTCACATTTTAAACATGTCTGGAAAAAATGACAAAATGACTGGAATATGACAAGAATCAACTTTTAGCATTTGTTCGTACAGATGTCAAAATACAAAAGACATCACAGTTTTTTAAGGTGGTCATTAAAGGTGTGACTGATTTTGTGTATTTGTCATAATGTGTAAAAATGTGTTTATTTTTTCTTCTATTGTTGATGCTGTGAGTCGTGTATGTGTCACTCAAATCAGGTCATTTTAACAGTCATCACAGTGAAACGAAATGAACAACGCTTTCCCCGTAAATAGCTTTTTTAGTTTTACAGAATTACCCAATGCATTAGCCACGTCATCATTTTCACTTCCATGATCTGAGACGGGGTGTGTATCTGTGTTTGTACATAGAGACTTACTGTCACAAATACTATTTTTGATGTCGAGCATGATGTACCCCTGTTCTAATGGTGTGTGCGCCCCAGTGTTACTACAGCTCACTGATGCAGGCTGTGGGATCTACACTGACTTGTGTGTAAAATAAAATTACTGTGCTGTGACTGTAAAACCATCCTCTTGTCATGTTTTCTGTTTTTTGTATGTAGTTTTTGTTCCTTAACTAGTCAAGGAGTTTTGGGCTGTTGAAGTAAGGGGTAAAGTTTAAGTGCTGAAGTGAAACAGCAGAACTCTGCCACCTGCTTGTCTTCATGGGATGTTGCTGCCACCTGCTTGTGTTAATAGAATGCTCATTAAAGTTAAACTGGCAGTACCGTTAGGCCAAGTTACAGTCAGATAGATCTGTAGACCAAGCTCGCTCACATGAATGCATGTTTTTCACGACAGGCATATTTTTAAGTAATAAAATCAGCTGTTATTAAAATACATGCATGATGGACATACCATTCTGCTGTGGAACATCCAAGGAAAATTGATCGATGTTACATCGTGCACCTTTAACATCGTCCTTCACGTGCATACCAGGATGTAGCTGACTTCACGCTCCTACAGTTTTTAGGATAGACCCCACACCAGCCACCTGTAGCCCTTACTGTAATAAACAACGGCAGGAACATTTTTAAAGAAATATTAAGTGCTCCTAATACGTATAATTCCCAGTAATGGCATCTTAATAGTATGGTCTCATTGGAGATTTGGGGACTGAGCGCCGGAGGCCCAGCGGTAGGTCTGACATTTGCTGTGTCCCGCCTACAAGGCGTGGATTCGATTCTCCTTTTCCAAAACTCCTCTGTCCTCATCGGAGCGAAGGATCCATCCGAGAGCATCATCGATGGCCCAGCTCCAGGGTAAGTCACATTTTCAGACTGTTATTACCACGTTACGGGTCTGCCTTTCGCCCACGCACGGCTCTGATAGAGGGGAGCCTGTGCGCTCCGTATCCCGAGGACAGACGCCCAGAGACGGCTGCGTTCCTCTGCAATGGTGGAGGAGACGCTGGCTCGGGATGAATAACAATAGCCGCCTTTCGAGAAATGTCTGTGATCAGAGTCGGAGCTAAAGCACGTCCGCTCCACGTCTGTGGCAGAGACTGAAGGCAGAGGAGCTGTGGTGTGTGTGCGGGGCTGTTTATGATCGCTGTCATTACGGACATATTGGCAGTGATTCATCCGAGCACAAGGCTCACATTGAACCGATGCTGCAACAGCCCGAGCCCCTTCCAGTCCTCAGAGCTGCAGAAACCCAACCAGAGGCCTGGAGCTGCAGGCTGTCACAAACTTCACCGAAAATGTGTTTGGATAAAACAGGTCTATATTGTAGATTGAGCAGATCACGGAGACGGCGGAGAGCTGAGGAGATCATGCAAAGTTATGCGAGCGCTTTCTGAAAGGCTCGAAAAAAACAAGTGAAATAAATACTGAATGTAACGGTCAGGATTAAAATAAGTTCCAGGAACCACATACATGTTCTAAGGCGCAAAATGATGAAATATATTTATTTTAAGTGAATAGTCTGAAAATGTGACCAAATGGCGCCGCGCTGTGTTCGACAGACGCTAACGGAGAACATCACGATGAAAAGTTTGGCACTAGCAGCCTATAGATATTTTTACAACATCGTGTAAAAAACAGACTTTAAAAGAAATTCTAGGATAAAGTAGCTGATTAAAAGTAACATTTACAATAAAGAGGTTTATTTGGCGCCACAGCTTTGTAATAAACATAGTTGATACATTAGTGGTTTCTTTTGGAGGCTGTAGTTCCTTAGCAGCTGTTGCTACGCTACGAGCTCAGCCAGCGCCATCAGCGGAAAAAGGGAAAACTCTCCAACTAATCCGACAAAAAGAGCTCCGTCTCGACTCAAAAGGCACAACACCCGAGCTCAGCGGACCCGCACACATTTAAATGAACCGACACGGATATCTGCAAGGCCCTGCGCACTTTATATCAGGCTTACAACATTGGCAGCAGCATGCAAAGAATATAAAAGCATATATTGTTCATTCTGTGAACTCTTAACATGCACAGTATGGTCTCTTTAGCATTGTATAATATATGATAATTCATGTAAGAAATCGTTGCAATTAATAACTTGCCATTGGGGAAATGAAACCAGAAAGTCCACGTCTCATAGTCTAGCTCACTGAACGGGCCAACTTCTGTCGTTGTGTCCTTAGGCAAGACACTTAACCCATTTGCCTACTATGAAAGTGGTGTGTGCATGAGTGAATGATGGTAGTCAGAGGGGCAAGTGGGTCAGTCTTAGTAGTTTACCACAGAGTGTGGAGAGACTGAATGATCCAATGTTAGTGCAGCGCTTTGAGGGGCTTTGACAATCCTGTAAAGAGCATTACAAGTTCATTATTATTACTATTATTACTCATTTTCACACTTAATAAGTTGTTTATTGTTTTGTTTGAATGAAGAAGGTTATTCAGCAAGCCCGTACAATGAAAATACTTTGGCACATTCTTCTTTCTCTTTAAGAAATATGTGTATTTTCTCACAAGACATTTTTATTTTTAATGCCATTGGGAAAATGAATAAACTCAAAGACTGCTATGGCTGACTTCACTTTGAACTGAGCACCACCCCCTCTGCTGCATACACATTTTCATATTTCTTTTCTTTTATATTTATATCTTTTCTATATTGTTTGCATTGGCTGTTCAGCAAATCCATTCTCTCTGAAGTTACTGACCTGAATTGAAGTAATAATCTATATTGCACCACAGTCCATGGCGAAGGTTATGATATTTGTTATATGGAGTGAAATGTACCAGAGAAGGAGGGATTAGAAGAAGAGATTGCACTTTGCTCATAATGCTGTGGAGATGTGGAGGTGGTGTACTGCAGCAGATGGTGCCTGAATTATATGTATTTTTCTTTGCTTGCTTTTCCATTGCTCACAAACATGTATATGAAGGTTTATAATCACATAATGTACATAATGTCTCATTTTATATGTGTTTTAATCCTTAACCCTACCATCTGCATTCTCTACTTACTACTTACAAACTTCATGTCCTCTTTCACGTCCATGAATCATATTTTCACTACACCGTATATCCATCTCTCTGCTGTAGCATATCATAAACTATATTCACTCTCCCTCTGTAGGGTTGTCAAAACTTGAAATCGAAAACTAAATCCTCATTTGAACAGGTATCAGTACTAAAAAAGTCACATTCACAAGACAGAAATGAACCTTTCCTGAATATCTTTAGTGATCTTGAGCTGTATAAGAACAAGTTGAAGAGCACGTAGACTAGTATACGCCCATGGAAAACTATAGAACCTACCGGGACAAATGAGGGATTACACAGATGTAAAACCACATGGGAATATGAGAAGTACTATAATTTAATGTTGAAAATCATTCTTTTGTCTAAGTATTGTCTGCTGTATTTGAATTGGTATTGAGTACTGCGTCTATTTCTCAGTATCAAAATCAACTTTGAAATTCTTTTGTAACAACACACCTCTGTATCATTTATTCACTCTCTCTCATGTGTACCGTATTCACTAGTATGTCATATATCCAAACTTAATCTGTGCACATGAATTCAAAAATCAAATATTTCTTGTTCCTTCTTGTTCATCTAATAGTGAGTAAACCTGCAGTAGCTGTACCAGAGTCGAATCATCATAATTTGGCCAAGCTTTGCAGAAATTCCAGGCCAGCAGCAGCATAAGGGTGTGGGTGGTTCTGGTCCGTGGAGGTAGTGTGATGAGTGCATGATGTTAAAGATTTGACCAAAGTGAGTTTTCTGTTGACAGGGGAGTGGACTTATTGGTTTGCGCAGAGGAGAGGAGCAGCGTGACTGACCTGTTTGTGTACCATAAATCAGGTATTTGAACTCCTCCTTCTAAACCCCATTCACACATAGATTCCAGAAAATTGCTGTGTACAAATTCCCTTTCACGCATGCACATTGTCAGCTCTGCTCTGTTCACACATCTTCCAGGCAACTAGTAACTGATATTTCCCTCCGACCTCCAACATGAAAAAATGCTCCAGCTGGTAATTCCCATTTGTGAACTGGGAGATGGTCAAGGGACTCCCATTTCACATATGCAGTGATGGGAAGGTTACTTTTAAAATGTATTCCCCTACAGATTACAGATTACATACCCCAGAATGTAGTTTGTAACGGAATCCATTAGGTTATTTAAGGTGAGTTACGTAATCTGAATACTTTGGATTACTTGATTTGCTGTAGAGAAGCAAAGACTAGGATATCGTAACGTAAGATGTTTTGTCTGCTAAAAGAAAATAAAGAACCTAGACTTTACTTCACCGTATTAAAAATATTATTGATAGAAGAAGAGGAGACACGTCCACGCAGCATGGTTTAGTCCTAGTTTAGTCCTGGTTTAGTCTTGTTAAATCCTGTTTTAGTCCTAGTTTAGTCCTGTTAAATCCTGTTTTAGTCCTGTTAAATCCTGTTTTAGTCCTGGTTTTAGACCTGGTTTAGTCCTGGTTTAGATCTAATTTAGATCTAGTTTAGCTTTAGTTTAGATCTAGTTTAGACTTGGTTTTAGTCTTGTATTAGTCCTGGTTTAGACCTGGTTTTAGTCCTGGTTAAGATCTAGTTTAGACCTGGTTTAGGGGGGGGGGCAATAGGAAACAGGAAAATACCGCCGTGTAATCCATTTATTTCAACAAAGTAACTGTAATCCAATTACCTCTCACTGTAACTGTAACCGAATACAGTTACTTATAATTTGTACTCTGATTACGTAACTCCGGTACATGTAATCTGTTACTCCCTAACACTATATGAGTTACACATTGTTACAAGTTACAACAAATGAATCCAACTGAAAATTCTGTTATTTAATCTGTGGGAGACATTTGTTTAACATTTACATTTCTTTAGCCTCTGGTTTGGCATTATGTTGTTTAAATCATCTGAACTCTCAACGTTCAAGTGTCTAAATCCCAGCTGAGTACTGTAGCTCTGTGGAATGATACTGTATGTGAACTCTGGTGTGTGTCTCAAGGCTACAGTGAGCAGAGCCATGCCTCCTCCAGCCGACATTGTGAAGGTGGCCATTGAGTGGCCCGGTGCCAATGCTCAGCTCATCGAAATGGACCAGGTCAGATACAAACCTCCAAACGATATCACTCCACGAACTCCTACTGGGCTCGTGATCATTTACTTTGTTTGTTAAAAATATGTTTTTCTCATTTATGCAGAAAAGAGCGCTGTCGTCAATAATACGGGAGGTGTGCGATGGGTAAGCCTCTACGTTTATATCTTTCATTCAGTCCTGTGTGCCTGTTTTTCCCTATTTAATAAATTTAAAAATAAAATAAATATGCTCAAGTGAATATTTTTTTAATACAACAATAGTCATCTTAATCAGTTTAATTAAATATACAGACAGACCTGTATCAATGCATGGAACGACTACAGCAGTCACAGGGTGCCTTCTAGTGGTCAGTGTCAACAAATATTTATTTTGTTTTGATTTGGTTTATGATCTCTACAGAGTGAGAGATACTTTATTGATCCTGAGGGAAATTCAAGTTTTGCTTCAGCAAAGTTTTACAGTTGATGTTACAACATTTACACTGCACTTCTCAGTGGCCTTTGTGTCTCAGTCAAAGATCTCAGTGCAGTTCAACAGGAGGTCGGGTCAGCAGATCTGTGTCAGGGCAGTTTGAGGAGAGGAGGAGCCAAAAGTGACCCTCCTCTGTGTCCTGTAGCGTCACAGCAGCCGGCAGGGGGAACCAGGTGAACATAACAGGAAAGGACTCATTCTTTCTCCTTTCTGGTGTTCCAGTTGGTGACAAAATGGTCCAAGTGTTTCCCCTGGAGAATCTTCTGCCACATTTGCTGCCACATATGGTGTAAAAAAACCCAAACAAAAACGACTAGCAATTCAAGTGTCCATAGGTAGGTCCTTCTCCACGGATAAGGAAAAAACAAAAAGCTCATTTTACAAAATCCTCACAAAACAGTCCTTTACATGTGTCCTTTGAACGGCACTTGCTGCGCTTCTTACTTGGTTAAAAGATATGGTGCTAAAAACTGAGCTCAAAAACTGCTCAGTGTTTGAGCCAGGTAGCCAGAAAAGGAGCCAACCACTCTGCTACCTTGCACCAGGGATTTCTTTTGGCCTATTGGTGTTTATCTGATGACATCCCAGCATGCTACAGACCAGTGTTACGTAATACAGATGGGGGAAGGTAAAATTAATATTGCTAAGACGTAGATTTTTGTTGCCATACAGTGAGTTCTTGTGTCTAGACTTTGATAGAAATGTTTAGGTTCAGCATTTGTGAATTTGGATATTTCATGGTAAAATACATTGTAATCAACAGGAAAAACTCACTCTTGCCCCCATCTGGAAGTGTGACGTAATCACCTTATAGAATCTGAAAATCACAGTTTTGGACTTGGGGTCATAAAAGTGTGCAAGAGTGGGCCTCAGGTGGTGGCTGCCATTTAGGACTGTCTCGTGGAGGAGTTCTTAGCTGTTCCTACCACTGAAGAATGAAGGTCCGTGGCTGAGGAGGTGGAACCTATTTTAGCGTCAATGCAGACAGTTTAGTTGGTGCAAAATACACACAAGTGCTCTGTGCATTTATGGACATGGACAATTCTCTTGACTGGATGCTGTTAGATCTTGTTCCCCTCTTGTGACGATTTGACCAATCAAATTCAAATGCTCCACATGATGTTCCACTTTATCGTGATCGCTTTCGACGAGAACCATCCCAGACTGATAAAGTGTAGAAGTCATCCCAGCTCATCTGGTGTGACCCAGGTTGGGTGGAGGACAACTCCACCAGACAAAGGTTAGTGCACCTTTAATAAACAAAACTGTTCTGCCTCATTGCCTCCAGGTGGATTAGGATAGTTAAATGTGTGTTGACCAAATAAATACATGTACAAAACAGCTTGGGTCATTGAAGCAGACTGGGAGATAGCACTAATGATCTCTTTGCTCAAAATTTAATTCTGTAACTATTGTTTATTTGTCCAGCTGTGCTTGCAAACCTTTATCATTACAACACATCTTTGTGCAGACAATATAGGCCTACTGTGTGGATGAAGATGTATGTTGGAATTCTCTCATTCTACCTGCTTTCTGGTAAGAATTCACAACTTTAATATTATAAATGAGAAACTATCTAAGGCCACGTTTATATGGTGACGGTCTGAACAGAAGATGCAAAAGGGCGTCGCATCTTCACTTTTTATTCCATGTTTAGATGTGTGTTTTCGGGAGGAATCATGTGCTGGTTCCAGATGGGTACGAGCAAGATCGGTGTGTAATGGACTGGGTCTGAGCAGTTCCACGCTGTCCTATGCACGTTGGTCGATCCGTGCATGGAAAACGAGAATGCGTAGTGGATTACAGGTCTGGGCGGGCTGCTCCGGTCCTCCGTGCTCAAGGACTGTGGCTGGTTCTGAGCTGGTGCAAAGCATCCGGACAGAAGTGCAAATCCAGTTTGGTTCGTTCGTTATATGTTGTTCTGAGCATTCGTCCTCCGTGCACTCTCCGGGTTCTTCCCAGGGAAAGCGCTTCTCAGGCTGAGGCACTGAAGCCCGGCCTGAACCGGAGCTGCTCCCGCTGGTTCAGGAGTCTGGTTTGGATCTAGTCCGACTGTAGCATTTCTCACACTAGGCTAGAAACAGGGCACTTTTGAAGTTGAATCAATTGAACAGGTTATTGCCTATTGCCATAATATTATTTGGTTCATTAATAGCCTAAAATAACAAATTGTGGTTGCTACGTAAACACGGGAAACACTGGGACCTCTCTGTGTGTGCACCATCGACTGGTTCTCTCAGGTCTCGTCCATATCAGTTTGACTTCGCCTGCGGCGAAATGGTGCATCCAGAATTTGACAGAGGTGATTACAGATCCTTCTCAGTTCACTAATCTAATCTATGCATATTCTGTACATTTGTTGGGACATTTGTTTCTGTGTACTGTATGTATGTGACATAAACGCGTACGTGACATGAGAAGAGTTTTGCGTCTTGGGCGGTGTAGACAGAAACACTATGGTGGAGCGTATTCAGCTTTTCCACTCTGGAGGGCGGTTTCAGATTTTTGTGTTTTTAAGCCCCAAAAACACTGTCACCATCTAAACGAAAATCACTTCCGATAAAATATTTTGTCATTTTTACCAGCAAGCGTTGTCATGTAAACAGGCCCTGAGGGATGTCAGGATTGACTGTTTAATGGATAAAGGTGATAATATAGGCCACAATGTAAGAATGTAAAAGAAAACAAAAAAAAACATCAAGCTGTTCATGTCACATGAATTTAAATTGGTGAATGTGTTGTGGTTGAGGGCAGGAAAATGAATTTAATTTTACACAAACAATGAGTTTAAGTGTTAGCGCTGTGCAGATAACAATAGGGGTGCTGTTACTGATCTTCATTAAAAACGAAGAGAGAGGAGGAAAGACTGGGCAGCATGTCTTATCACTCAAAAAATACTTTTACGTATGGTACAGAAGCCCTGAGAGGCAAGAGAGAAAAAAGCCATTTGGGCTCTATTTTCTAAGTGTTTTTTTTTTTGTTTTTTTTTCACCAACTCAAAAAATAAATTATAAAATTATTTTCTACAAAAAAATAAAAAAATAAAAAAAAAAATTAAAAATTCTAAAAAGTTTTATTCTAATTTTTTTTTCCTAATTTTTATTTTTTTACAAATATATATATATTTTAATCTTGTGTTTTTTTTTTTTTTTTTGATGTGACTGATAAAAAACACTGCTCAAAGACTGTGTTTTCCAAGTATATTCCTGTAAATACCAAACTTCAGCACTGGTGAACTGGTGGAGTATTACCTTCTGGCATTAAGTGCTGGGTTAGGACGTGGGAGACAGGGGTTCAAAACTCTCCTGCTTACGTGCATATTCATTCTTACTGAATATAGTCTTTTCATGAGTTTTACTTTTGAGTTCTCTTTTATGAGTAATAGGAGAAGTAAGCTCGATGCATCACTGATCACCCTACAGGCATAAGGCGCTGTTTTTCTATTGTACTTTAGTTGTGCTGTTGTACTTTGTTGATGTGCTCCTGTTTAGCTTATGTGGCAAAGGGCTGCACTATCGCGTAAAGGGGGCAGCATTTGAGTTTTAAGGTAGATGACTTGTTTTTTTGTCTTTGAGCTCCACTCCACGAGGAAAACATGAGCAAAGTGCCCCTGGTTTAGTCCTGGTTTAGTCCTGCTTTAGTGCTGGTCCCCTCATGTCTCAGGTCACTGTAGGACAGTACTGTAGATATCTTGAACCTATTGCAGGTTGTTTTCACCATTGCCAATGGCTCCGGTTTGACATTTAAGTTGTAGCTATTTTATATTTGTTATTTTTTAAATCTCACATCGGGAGAAGTGGGTGGACGGTGTACCCCACGTACCACGCCCACTACACCCCTGGTGCTGATGCTGGATGAAAGTATTTGCCACATGTTTGTCCCCAAATCCCCATGAGCTCCTCTTACCAGGCATGTTTGCTTGGAGCGTACCCTACTCCCGTGTTGGACAGCAGCAGTTTTACGCACAGCTCCAAAAGTCGCTCATGAATGTTGTAATAACATTAATATCCAAATAGTGCAGCATTCTGTCTTCCAGCCTGGAGTAGTAGTCAGCCAGAACAAATACACACGGAATCAGGAGCACGTGAGATTCAAACCCCGGCCTCCCACATCCTAACCCGTAGCCTAACGCCATGAGCTGATCTTCCACTGGCCTGCCAGCACTGAAGTTTGGTATTTACAGGAATATACTGGAAAAAAAAAAAAAAAAAAAACACTTCGCAAATAGAGCCCAAATGACCTGCCTCTTTTTTTTTTCCTCCTCTCTCTTGCCTCTCAGGGCTTCCATACATGGGTATAGACTTTTATAACAACCTTNGGCCATTGAGTGGCCCGGTGCCAATGCTCAGCTCATCGAAATGGACCAGGTCAGATACAAACCTCCAAACGATATCACTCCACGAACTCCTACTGGGCTCGTGATCATTTACTTTGTTTGTTAAAAATATGTTTTTCTCATTTATGCAGAAAAGAGCGCTGTCGTCAATAATACGGGAGGTGTGCGATGGGTAAGCCTCTACGTTTATATTCTCTCATTCAGAGTCCTGTGTGCCTGTTTTCCACTACTATTATACTGAGAGGGTTTATATAGTCCTCAATGAATGATCCACTGATGACAACCACTCTCTCTAATGACATATTTATTTAATACTTGCACATGTGCCGCATCACAA